TTAAAAACGAGAAGAATTTTCTAAGACTGAATCCATGATAAGGATAGCAAAAAAAAATGGCCAAGGAAAAGGATGTTTTATCCAATCCAAATATTATAAAAGTTGTTTCGAGACTATTTTATAGATAATTTGAAAATTTCATAATTCCTATTAAAAGGGTCGTGTGTGCTTGGTAAAAACCGTTTTATATAAATAAAGGTTAAAAGAGAGAACCAATCAAAGAAGATACTTATTTTATGCTATCATAAGGAATTATATTCTAATTTTAAAGAAAGTATATTGATATAAAAGTGAGCTTTAATGCAATTTTTTTTTTTCTAAACTAAAATGATTGGTATTCTTAAAATCAGAATTTAAAAATTTATCAAAAAATTTTTTTTCTTATGGTGTAGTAGTCAATATATGAATAAAATTATAATCTAAGCCATCTAAACTTAAGTTGGAATCAAAGCGAAATGTATTTTTCGTAATAGCATATGGCAAACATTACCTAAGGGTTAGCACAAAGTGTTACCTTCAGGGTCCATATGAGAATCAAATGTTAAGCGCCTTAGATTTATTTAATTTTTATAAAGTAAATATCGCTGGAGTTAATTACGCACATGTAAAGATGATGAATATGAAAAAATATCTTGTTCAAAATGTCAAACCCATTCCCGAAATCAGAATATTCATGCTTTTAAGCAACTTAGGGAAGATTAAATTAAAGTTAAACTATTTTCATATTGTGAAAATTATTGAATTTACAATATATACAAATTTAATTTTGTCTTCAATAAATTAATCAAAAAATTTTTTAAGTTACTTTTATGAGAAGAATTCAATTCATCAAATAACTTAACCAAAGTTCCCCCTTTCCACCCTCTCCCTCTCAATTTTTACTAGATCATTAATAGCTATTCTTTTAAATATTATACATAAAATATTTGATAGATTTTGACTTTTAACAATTACTGATTAATATCAAATATTTATTTAGATTTTTGCAATAAACTGATGATTAAAATGCCATATCTCCTAAACTTAAGCTCGATCTAACTTGAAAATTTGCTTATTTATTTATTTAATAGTCCTATAACTATACATTAAAAAATTTGAGAGGGAAAAAAATGGCTATATTTGTTTTTATGAGTATTTCTGGTTTTTTGTGCGGTTTTCAATTTCCGGGTTTTGCCTTTTAAAATATTTAAAAATAATTAACATTGTAGGTCTACCAATAGGCTATATAAAGAAATTTAAATGACGCTTCTAGCTCGATTGTATCCAGGGATATTTAAAATTAAGAAGAGCATTTTGCCCAATGCCCCATTTTTTCGATATTTAGAGGCCTGTATTTCAGCCGCTGCTTGGAGTTAGAGGCTTAAAATTTTTTTATTCTATGTTATAATATATACAAACTCTTGTAATGATTTTAAAAAAACTGAGGGGGTCGGGTTGAGAATAGTGTTTTTTTGTTGATTACTGAGTTAGGAAAGATATTCTTAACTCTAAGCTCCCTTGAGTAAAATGATCAAATTTCTGTCCTACTTTTTCAAAATCTTTACTAAATTTTTTAAAAATATTTTATAAAATATCATTTCTATTGTATTAATCGTTTATTTTAGCCGAGTGAGCTTTGAAATTGGTATCCAAGCTCAAGCTCTTCCACATACAAATATTAATACATATCCTTCTCATTTCTATAGGAGTTCTAATAATGCATAATATAATCGATATCACTGTTTATTGTGATATACAAACAGTGTTATATTAATAACTTGAGTCGTTCCAGATTCCTAATTTCTATTTATATTTTAATAATTAAATATATATTGGAGCCAATGATCTTTATTTTTTAAAATCATGATGATGTTGGGGTTTTTTAAAAACCGTCAGGGTTGGAAAAATAAAATCAGAAATTGAAAAAAATGAAATATTTATATATTTTCGTCAGGCCTGTAAATGTTTTCTTTACAGATATTTTGATTTGCTATACATTTTATCCATACAAAGAGTTTATCCACTTCTAGCCAATTATATTCATTTTATAAATTAAAATTTTTTTATTTTAAATAATATTAACCAATATTTATATTATGTATATAATAATTATTATAATAATATTACTAACTAATATTTTATACGAGAGATAATCCATTAGTTAAGTTAATCTCTAAAAATTTTGATTTTTTTTTAATAGAGCGAAGGATCATAGTAAAAGTTATCATAACAATTTATCGAAATATTAGATTATAATAAAATTATCCATAATAAATATTTTTTGATATTTATCATATGTCAATTGATTTGAAATAATTTGATACTTTAAAAACCCTCATTTAATTTTATTCGCATCTTCTCTGCATCGCAAAAAAAAAGGAAGAGTTTTAAAACTCGAAGAAATTAAAGGATTAATAAAAAAAACTACAAACATTTTTTCTTGTTATGATTATGAGATTTAATAAAAATTAACAAATATTTTTTAATATTAAAATTGTGATTGACTTCGTAATTTATTATTAGCAATTATTTAAATGAATTGTCAAAATAATATTTATACAGTTAATACCTAATTACTTCTTTCAAATGAGGCTTATTTTTCCTTCTTTCAATTTTTTCGTTATATCTTAAAATGATCTTTTTATTAGGGTAGAAGATGTTGTATAAGTTAATTAGTTCATTTAAAGGAGATGAATGAGGCATAGGGATTATATATAACTTTTTTTTAAAAGTATATATAATGCTGTTCAGTGTTCGCATAGCCTGCTGCGTTCAGCTGCGGAAGCATTAACTTCGTAATTAGGGTAATCAAAATTTTGCAAAGTTTTTCTTAATTGAGATGTTTACATTACTATAGTTTATGTATAAAAATTAAGTAGGTAAACTTGAGATTATTGCAAAAAATAAAATGGAAATAGTTTAATAATTATATAACTCTTTCAAATTACATCGTTTATTTATTTACTTCCGTTATCTTTTGAGATATGATATATAGAATCTGTGGTTAAAGAACCTGGAGAATTATTTAGGCCAATCTAATTATAAACCAAATTTTTAAAATAATATTATTTAGCTTGATTCACAATACAATACTATTCAAAAAGTTTATTTTAGATTTGTTATATTTATATACTTTGAATGTTATATTAATGGGGCCCGTTTAGGAATTTGATAAAATATCATTTTCTTAAAAGCTTTCTACCACAATTTATATCCATTTTTTAAATTAACGTAATATTTTTTTTAAATAATAAGATAAGATATTTTATTTTTACTTGAAAAAAATGTTGTGTTAAATGTTAAAATGGTGCATGCCCATATTTGAAAAGAAAATAAATTAGATGCCTTAAAAAGGGGGATTTTATTGAATTTAACGGAAAATTCTAATATACAAATAAACATAAAAAATGGGAGCTTAAGTCAATTATATTGAATAATAAATATAACAAATGAGGTCTTTCTTAGAATATTATCGAGGAATCGTGTATACCTACTAAATTGCGAAATAACTTATTCTGCCTATGATGTTGATTGATGTATATCACAAATTCTAACGGTTTGAATTATAATCGAATTTAATGAAAAATTTATACATAAATAAAAATAAATATTATCTCCTTCGCTAAATATGTAATGAAGTCTCCTGAATTAATGGCTAGAACGGAAATTCCGGTCCTTGAAAAAGTGTTTATAATATATTTCTAAAGTAAGGGCAGTTAATTCGTAAATTTTTTAAAGTTATTTTTTTTTAATTCTTAAAAAATTATTCAGAACCCGGCCGAACCACGTAGACAAAATAATTTAATGGCCAGGCTAAAAAACTTGTTCAAACTTAGGATTTAAAACTGATATTTGTCAGAAAGCTATATAGGCATTCTTGCATAGACCCTTTAATTTTTCTCCCCATGCTTAGTTTATATGTAATAGGGAAAATATAAAAGTTTATAGAATAGGTCCATTGGCAGTCGTCATTCATTATTATATTTGGTTTTTCTTAAAAGGATCTAGATAGATTCCTTATTGGTCACCCTTCTTTATTTTTTTTTAAAAAACGCATTTCTTTTTTTCTTTTCTTTTCTTTTCTTTTCTTTACTTTTCTTTTCTTTTCTTTTTATTTTATAATTTTAATTTTTTTTTCCATAAAGCTTTTATTTTACATTTAATATTATAAAATAAATATTAAAAATAAATGCATGCCATTTAAAATCTAAAAGGAAAAACATGGAGAAAAATGCTAAAAAGAAACCACAAGGTCAAGCTCAAGTAGATTTTTTAAAAAAAATACGATATACGTTAGAGTCACACACATGTTACCGGTGAAAATGTTATAATTTGTATACACATATGTATAATTTAATAATCTTATTTATGTCCAGTTCACTTCTTATTTTTGATAAAATTTATTCATCATCATCTCATCAACACTTTAAAAACGAATTCAATTCCCCCTTATATACATATCATCACTTATGTGATACTGATGGTGATGGTTTCTTTTTATAATGAATGTATCCCTAAAAAAAAACTCTTTTTCTGTTGTTTTTTTTTTGAAAAAGATTTGAAATTTTAAAAAAGAAAATTAATTAATTATTTTCTGGTAATATCATATATTTTTCCCAATTTATATTTAGTATTTTATTTTTTACCAATTAATTTTAAATCATTTTTTTTAAATATATATATAAATTTTTTGATTAAAAATTAAAAATGAAAGGAATAACTTGAAAGTTTTCAATTATATAATCTATAAAATTTGATGCGATATATTTTTTATTATTATAAAAGGAATCATTTTGATTATTTATAATATAGTAATATTATATTTTGAAATGATCAACATCTTCCGTCTGCCTAAAAAATGAAATAAAAGTTCGAACTTTTTTATGTGACATATTAGATAGAACCTTCTTATAAAAAAAATATACATTTTTTTTACCAATTTTTTTGTGTGTCGAACTATTTGATATAGCGTAGTTTTTAAAAAAAATATATATAATAGGTATAGCTGTTATTATCTCCTTATGAATTTCTCCATAAACACTATTCTTGCTATGGAAGAGGACAATCGCGGAACTGATCCAAGAAGAGAATTTTCTGAATCAAAACTCCGACCACTTAAAATGAATCTAGGAATGAGCGAGGCGGAACAAAATATGACTAATCATTTTTATACAAGTTTATTTATTTTTTAATGCTAAATAATGAAAAGGATGTTATACATTATGTGTTAAGTTATTTCTGAAATGACGATTAATCGGGAATCCTCTAAGAATCTGATTTTACAGGAAATAGATTTTTACATTTCTGATCTGATTTAATTATAATTATTAACACTGTGTGGATAATAATAATATGGATTCTATAAGTATTTAAAACTTTTTTGCTTAGGTATATATATATTAGCGGCAATGAGTTTTTCCCAGAAATGTTTCAACTTTAAATCATTTCCAGAAGCGTGTTTTTATAAATTTAAGTGATTTTACCAGAAATGTATTTCAACAATATCTACTCTATAAATTTCAGACAATTTCGCCATAAAGTTTTGAACTTAAAATTTATATTAGTTTTCCATAGATTCTTATATAAATTATAACGGCAAAATTGCCTACAATTCATAAGATAGGCTAAACTTGCCGTAATATATTTCTAGAAAAATCAGACCTTAAAATTTAAAAAACACCATCAAAACATAATTTAAAGTTGAGGAAAAAAATCCATGTTTAAGACTAAAAATAAAATATTAATCAAAAAATAATTCAAATGCTTTTTTCCAAAATATTGAAACTAGATGATTTTAAACGAAATTCAGCGATTAATCCTTGATTTTAGGTTTGGGTTTATCTCACCAAAAAAAAATGTTAATAATTTATTAATAATTTAATATTATATGTATCATACATAGAACTCTTTAAAATGTGAGAATTCTAGGCTCATGTTAGTTGATACACTGTTTGCTTAAAAATGGAGAATATATTTAAGCCTGTTATAAGTAAATGTTTAAATTCATGCCTGTTTAGTGTGCTTTTGCGATTTGCCTTTTGACTTTTCCCATCCAATCCAATGTATAATATAAATTTTTCTATAATTATTATTAAGAAATACACTTGTTTATAACATTTGTTTCAATTTATTTATTTTTTCTCACTCCATTATATCAAAAGAAAACTTCTCTCCGCTCTGCAAAAATTATGTTATCCAATTTTAGAATGAAAAAAAAACCATTTTTAAAATACTTTTATTACTCATAAATTTAGATTTTATTATAAAGTTTAACTGGTTCGATCAAACTATTTGTCTAGTATAGTTAATTAGCCGATTCGAACCCCCTCCCCTCCTCTATCGCATTTAAAGGATATGATCGTTAAAATTCTATCTAAACTTTGCTCAAATATTGAAATTGATTTATTCGGTTATTATCATTTAAGTCCAATAGGGATGCTTATTTTTATAACTAAATCCTCAAAATAATTCAAATCTTTTGGGGTGACCCTGCTAATTAAAAAAACACTACTACAGTTCTTAAACCCTAACTTAATTTAAGCGTGGATTAGAAAGTTAGAACAAATTTGTTGGATTTTGTTAGGGCTAATGTCAACAATAACCCCACATTGAACAAATAATAATTATAAAAAGTATTTCATTTGTTTATATATAATTATTTCTATTTCGATTATTTAATTTTTTTTAGGTCTAACTTCCTTTATCTCCCCCAATTACATATCTTCCAGGGCATCTTCGCAGTTCATGACTCAGTTTATTTACGAAGCTCTGATGCAGCACCACTTTCCTCATTTGACGACTCCTTTTACTCATACCTTTTCCCAACCTTCCTTATTTTTGGGTTGGAGAAATTATATCGAAAATAGTTTAAGCAAGCCGAGCAACCCGTTTGCCTTTTCATCCTCATCTTTTGAAGAACCTATTAAGAAGGACATGGTATCCCTTTTGAGTGGTAGATGTCCCAACGAGGGTGAAATAAAAAACGAGCGCCACTTGGGTAAAACAAAAGCGTCTATCATAAACGGCGATTTTATGAATAAATTGAGGTTCGGAGAAATGAACGAGGATTACCCGCGAATAATTTTAGGTAAAGAAGAGGGGGAGGACGGAGCCCGGAAGAGAAGGCAAAGGATTTTGTTCAGCCAGAATCAGATCCGGGAATTGGAAAATATATTTAGCGAAAAGAATTACCTCACTTCCTACGAAAGAGACAAATTAGCTAGGCGAGTCAAGCTAACGAATACTCAAGTCAAAATATGGTTTCTTTTTTTAGGATAAATAATTATAATTGGAACCCGCACGGTCTTATTTTTTCAGGCGCGGCTCTGTAATTTTATTTTATTCGAGTCTGATCAAACTCTAAGGCTGATTCCTGACTCCTTATTTTTTAACAGAAATCAGTTTAGTCGTCTATTTAGCCTTCCTCTATAAAGAATATATAAAAAGAAAGGCTATTTAGATTTAGTACGCACTTAAAGCAAAAACAGAATAGGGCGCCCCTAGTTCAAAATCTGAATAGGCTGGTCTAAGCAGAAATAAGTTTCAGAAATAAGACGAACCAGGGTTCGGCCTATATCTTATTTTTTTTTAAAAAAACAATATAGTCAGATTCGAAAGAGAAAAAAAAATTATAAAAATTTTACTTTCTTAAAAAAAGCTCCCTCGAGGCAAATAATAAATTATGGTTGAATGGGTTAGAACAAGCTGTAAGGCTCTAATTAAAATATTATATTTAAATATGGATAAGGTTTCAAAACAGGCGTTATAAGTGCAAAAAATCTTCCAGCATACAAAATCGTAACAAAATGACAGATCCGCAGTCTCCCGACAAAATAGCGGGCTCTAATGATGACCGAAATCAAGCTCAATCCACCCTTTTTTTGTGATTCAGAGAATCACCGAAAATAAAACAAAACCAGAAATATTGATCCCCCTTTTCGGAATCCTAACCTCGAATTCTAGAAATAATAAATAATATTTAGGAAGGACATGACTATTCAAAAGCTGAGAAAGTCAGCATATCAAATAATTAACGAATTTATTTATTATAATAGATGTAAAATACGGTGATATTATCAAGGTTTTCCAAATCAAATGTATACAAACTGTGCAAATTACTATATTAAATAAAAATTATTATTTGATCCCAAATGCATTTTACAAACATATATACATATATAGATATACACAAATGCCTGTCCTCAAATTAGTAATATAGATAATCTGAACATGAGCATTCGCTTTCTAATTTTTAAAAGAGGCTTTGTAACATGAATTATTTAAAAAATTTTTTACTCTAAGAGACATTTCTCGTATCCAGAGGTGAATAAATTTCTCTCTTGTTAAAAATGGAAATGATTTTTATATTATTATTTTTTTTCTTCAAATGTTGGCATTTCTTTTATAATTAACGAATTACAATTATTTAAAATACCCAACCCCTCTTCCCAAAATTATAAATTTTAATTAGTGATGTTAAATAATGGCTCAATTTAAGCCGATTTTTAAAAATGACCAAGACAATTTTGTTTGTAGCCAGAACATTATCTCTGAGCAAAATCTACAGGCTTGAATAATATTTGTCAAGACAAAATATTGAGTTATCCAGTTTTAAAACAACCAGAGCAGTTTAACAACACAAATTTCAAATTTATAATTATCGTAAGAAAAAAAAGAAATTTCATTTTCATATATTTTTTTGGTTAGATTAAATTGATATTTGGGATCAGAATTTGAAAACAAATCTTTAAATATTTTTTTGAAAATATTTGGAATTTTTAGATAAAATTAAAAATCTTTCTTCTTTCAAAAAAAAATCTTTATTTTTCAAACTCGGTTCTTGGATGATTCTGTAAAAAATTTTAGATGCAAAATCACTCCGTTTGAACCAATTTTTAAAAAAATGCTAACTCCATATTTTAGCCAGTAAAATAGTGCTTAAGCCTCGAGATTTTGTTAATAGATTCCAAACCTTTGTGTATCTATGAACAAAATCTTCAGGCTTGCATAATATTTTTTCTGTATAAAATATCTAGTTAGCCCATTTTTGAAAATCGGCTCAAATAGAGCTATTTTGCACCATTACGGCCCAGATTGATATAAGTAGTTTTATTTTCCTTCATTTAATATCTATCATACTAATCTAGAACTGTAAACATTTCCAATAAAAAAACGACGTTGCGTTTATCGTTCATTGACAAAAAATTGAATGCTTTTCATGTTCTAAAATTCATTTGCAGAAAAAATAAATGGGTCAAAATACATAATATTTTACCTAATTATATTCACATTATAATAAAACCATGTTACTTCCTATTTACAGTTAGTGCGAATTCGCGGCGAAGTATACAAATCGCTGAAAATTCGTGCTAACTGGAATGCAGGGTTGGGCAGTTAATTTAATATATTGATTTTGTAAATAGAATATAAATGTGACAAAATATAAAACAAATAATAATGATATTTGATGATTATAATTAGAGACCTGCATACCCAATCCGGGTATACGGGCCGGGCTATGTTTTAATTTTTTTAAATATACCAGGGCTTAGCTAAAAAAGATACACATATTTCGCTATAATGTAGTATATTTTAAAAAAATCCATGCCGGGCCGAAAATATTTTTTTAATAAAATCCGGGCCGGTTCATGCAAATGGTACCTCAGCAGGTCTCTGGTTTATAAGTAAAAATTTTTTCCTATTAATTTTTTAACAAAAATTAGTTTCATAATATGCATCCTATAATCGTTAACGTTTTATACTAAAACTAAATTCGCCACGCTAAAAACGCGTTCCATCAGAGCTGGGAAGGTAGCAAAATTTTTCAACTTCTGGCAGTATTTTAGATATAAAGAGAACGCGTCTAAATCCTGATATACATTATAATTATTATTGGAAATTGGTTCAAATCATTTTCATGTAAATGCTTTATATTCATCTTATATCATATTTTGTAATATATATATGCAAACATCAAATTATCAAGTTTATTGTAAAAAATACATTTTTAGAACTATAATTATTCTAGAAAAGGAGTCAGCATAGGAGTTTGACAAGCAAGTCGATTCAAGAGCTTGGCTCACGAAGGTTTATCTAGTTGTCTCAAATTGGAGTCGATTATTGGAATAGGATTCTGAATCGAGTCGTGGCTAAGTGAGCTTGGTACATTACTAGCAGGAATTAAATTATATTAAAGATTGGCTGTTATTTAATTCTTCGATGTTTTTCAAAAATTACCTGTATTTTAAAAATTAAATCTCCCAGTATAAATAATAACATGACAATATATTAAAAAATTTAAATTTTTTCGTAAATATGTTTCTAAAATTTTTTTTTTTGGTATTTTGATTTATTTATCAGTTAGTGTTGTTAAACAGCTCGATTTGAGCCGATTTTTTAAAGGCTAACTTAATATTTTAGCCAGAAAAATGTTGCATAATCCTCGAGAATTCGTTAATAGATATCCAAACTTTTGTGCCATTTTTGAACAAAATCTTCGGGCGTATGTAATATTATTCTGGATAAAATATTGAGTCACCCATTTTTCAATATCAGCTCTTTAACAACACTACTATCAGCACGGATATTATTTTTTTTCATTATTTCTGACATAAAATAAAAAATGACAAATAAAATCACAGTAAAACAAGCCCCAAAAAGCACGAAAAATATCAATTGTTAGCCAAGAAAGTATATCACTAAATAACAGTTAAACACGCAAAATATTGTAAAATCCTAAATAAACAGGCATAATGAAGGAATAAATAATGAAAATGATGTCAAAATTAAGAAAAATGACATAAACGAAAAATCATAGTGAAGCACACAAAATTACAGATAATAAGCAAGGAAATCACATAACGCATAATAACGAAAAAGGGAGATTTTTCTTTGGTATGTATGATATCAGTTAATTCACAAATATGAAAATAGTCTGTCACATCAGCATTTTACAACTCTTTAATTCTTATGTATAAAATAGTCTAAAATGGATATTTTAAATATATTTTGGTTTAATTTACATAATACATTCGCAGAATGGTAATTTTTATAATGGAAACATATGAGAATAATCATAATTGCAATTTAAAAAAATTCTCCGTCAAAATAATTGCTAATGGATATTTTAAATATATTTTGGTATTATTTTAGTGTCACAAAATAGTGGCAACATAATAATCGTCATATTAAAATTGAAAAGATTATAGCTAATAATTTTTTTATCAGACTCAGTTAAACATTGATTCGAAGAAAGACAAACGCAACTAAAAATAATAAAATATTTGTATCCTTTATTTTTTTAAAAAAAAATAAAATATTTAGTTATAAAGTATTTAGTTATAAATGTAACATCACGTGTTTAGGGAATTCTTAATTATGTAAAAATGGAGAGATGATAGACTTACGGCAAATGGTGTATTAGTAAGAAGTAAAATATATTTTTTTCTTATTTATAAGCATTTTCCGAGTCTATAAAAAGTTATGATAACGATTCGGGGACATTTTTAAAATTTTTCTATTAACAAATTTATAAAAAATTTAAATGATAATTTATGAAACATTTAACTACTTATATAAAAATAATATTTAAGTATATATAGAGTAATATTTAATTATATATAATACAGAAAAAATATTTAAATATATATATAGAATATTATCATCAATATAATATTATTTATTATTGCTTAATATAAATGATCTTCATTAATAACATAAGATAGAAAATCTGGCATCCATTGTTGATTTGTTGGGTGTAATAAATATGTTTTTTGACAATCTGATAATGACAGGCATAAATATTTAATTATTATGACGTGATATAATATTAATTATAACTATTAGAGATCTGGAGCCCTTCTTTAAGGCTGCATCTTACATTTTTTGAAAAATCTGCGATTTTAAAAGATAGTAAACAAATTGATGAAACTTTTAATAAGCTGCGTTAAAATTGAAGAAAATATTATGTTAAACATTAGAAAGAATAAAATTTATTTGCAAAATTAGGAAAAGTTAGCATCATTCCTGAATGGAAAACATAGAAGAACTAAATATCTGTTTACTTTTATGTTTAGTACCTGGTTAGTACTCATTAATTACTTAATAAATTTTGAAACCGCAAAATTTAAATCGAATTATAATCACTATGGAAATTGTGAGGTCAGTCTATAAGCATGAAGTGAGTCTAGTTTTCAGAAACATTAATTCTTAAATATGGCAAGCTAATAATTTACTGCTTATCCTGTTTGGTAAAGGGAAAAAAATTTATTAGAAATAAAAATAATTTTTTAATTGTCTACATGTCTAAACGGATAATATAGAAATTTATCTGGTTTTTAGTTTATATAATTTCTTATTAATTCTTAAATCAATCAATTTCTCCAACTAAAATAAAATCTAAATCCATGATATCACACCTTAGATATAAAGTCAACTAAACTTCTGGAAACATGAAATAACTGTGAAGCTTTAAAAAATAATTCAGGTACTAAAAGCACCTCCTATGAGTCACTATAGTAACTAAATATTTCATATCTTTCTAAACTTTTAGATAACTAGCTGTTAAAATTTTAGCTGCTAAATAGAAAGTAATATATATTAAATTTCATTATTAAAAAACTTGCATTTTTTGACTAATTAAATATTTTTGAATTTAGTTACCGTTTAGAAGGTTATTTTTTTTGACGGAGGATAATAATAATCCGACAAACATATGATTGGAAATTATTGATATTTTTTTAGAGCCGTTAATGAGTTCATTTCACACAAGGAAAAGTACTCGCATTAAAAAGCTTATATATGGCACATTGAATCAAACGTTACTAGGTATAAATTATATACCGTTGATAGCAAAATTTATGAAATATTTAAGGAAAACACTTAATTACACGAGCAATTTTAAAAACACGTCCTTTACATAGTAATGTCAAATATCATGCCAATAATAACATATACAAAAGAAAAGATCATGAAATACATGAGGTTGATAAGTAAAATTGTTTTTTTTTGCAAACTAGCATTTTATCTAGGATAATTTAAAAATATATAATTATAATTGAAATATTTATTATCAAATATTACTTATTTTACCAAAGTATTCAACAATTACATTAAAATTTTTAATTTTATCATGATTGTAGATAAATTAGATTAAATAAATGTATCAAAAAATATTTACACAAAAATTGTTATATTAATATAATATATATATTTTAAAATCTACAGGCCTTCCATCTGCACAGTAGTAATAAAAAAACTAGATTAAGTAAAGAAATCTACAATGATATTATAAAGAATAATGAATCTGATTTATCAACTCAATCTTCTGATGAAGGTTAGTCTTACACATTTATTATTTTGTCATATTGATCTATGTTTATAATTAAAGCACTGGATACTTGATCTGGTTCTAATGGCAAATCTCATAAATTGAGATCTGTACAGTCTAATGAAAATAACTGGTTTGTTAACTGTAAACCAGTTCTTATATAATATTTTTATTATGCCTACAATTTAAATAATTAATGAGGTGAATCCATAAATATTAGATAACCTTTCTCAGAATTAATTCAGGATTATTGATAGAAAAATTCACCCACTAGATAAATTGGATTGGCTCTGGATAAAATTATAGGGCAACTAAGGTAGAAAGCTTGAATTATTTCCAGTTTGAGAAAATATCTTGACAAAAAAAAGCAAACTTTGATTCTTTAAAAAACAACACACATACCAGATTATTTTCTGATAAAGATAAGAAAAAATTTTGATGAGGATCTGAATGAAAATTCTTTTGAAAATAATTATTAAGCCTTTTCTAAATAAGGACTATTCTTTAATTTTTAACATTCCCCCAATTTAAATTTTTATTTATTAAATATAATACAATCCCCATCATAATGCAACAGTTGAATATGAGTTTAGCACAGCAAAAGATGTGTTGACCACTCTTGTTTATCTGATCAAAATTTTGAAAATCTATTATTAAAAATAAATAAAAATTATTTTAAAATATCTCATCTTATAATATATTATTTTTGTATAATTATATTTATATTATTTATAGGAAATTTTTGATTTAATATTTAATTTTTCAAGTAACGAGTAACACATTACTTTTTGAATAACCAGTAACATGCATTCCTTTTTTCACAAGGTAATGAGTAACAGTACAGTAACGCCTTCCTTTCTAGTCGAGTATAGAGAATGAATAAGACTCTTTTGCCAGATCAAATAATTCTAGCCTCAGCCATATGCCACCTAAGTTACGAGTGTTAGAAACTAAACTATATCTAGTTATAATTTAGGGTTGTTAATAACCAAGCCATCAGTCTCCGATTAGGCTGCAAAATCAACTACGACATCATATATCCTCTATGACATCCATATCAATAGCTTAGCAAAGCACTCCCTACACAATTCTAACATCCCTTCCACGCTAGAACCCTTGGTTCACAGCCCTTATAATCAAACCAGACTTGATGGGATGACCCTAGTCCCCAGGAACCAAAGTATGCCCCTCGTATTGGATTATACTAGATCGTTTTATTAGATCTTTTTCTTTCAATTCTATCTTGAGAGCAGAAAACATAAAGACCAATAAATTTAGCCACCTTATTAATTTATTGTTTGTTCCAGTAGTTTTAGAAACCTGCGGATGATTTGGACATAAAGCCCTAAAATTATTCAAAATAATTAAGAATTTACTTATTTTTTGATATATATTAATGAAATTACGTGACCGAGTCCAATCACCCGACCCCCAGGTATAGAACCACCAAGTTGGCTTAAGCAAAAAAACATGGCTCCTGCTGGATTCGATTCCAGGTCTATCGGATTCGTTATCAACGTACTCACTGACTAGGCCACCACGAAAATATCAATTTTTTTCATATAATAATAATAAATGCCATGTTTAAATATTTATGAAAATATGGAAATATACACGTGAAAGTAATGTTGACGACATTTTAGCTCATACAATAATGAACCATAGTGATTAAGCCTAGGAAAATAAAAATATGCAGTTTTCCTAAAATAGTTTTAAATCATTTTTTTTGTTTTAAATCTGATTTTTTGGTTTGGGTTTATTAAAAAATAATAACATTTTTTAAAAAAAAAATACCTTATACCATGGATTATTAAAAATATTGTCACCTGACAAAACAATGGTTTTAATTCGATATTCTAGTAGTGTTGTCAAACAGCTATATTTGAGCCTTTTAAAAACGGCTAACTCTTATTTTAGACAGAAAATATTGCCTAGCCTCAAGATTTTGATAATAGATTTTCAAACCTTTGTGGCATTTATGAACAAAATTTTAAGGCTTGCATAATATATTTCTGGATAAAATATTTAGTTTAGCCGTTTTAAAAATCGGTTCAAAACGAGACGTTTAACACCACTATAATATTCGAGTATAGACTAAGAAAAAAAATCAAAATTTGAACCCGACCTACCCTATGAATTACCGGTTTCTAACTCCCGTTATCTTACACCAATTTAGAACAAATTAATAAGGGTTCAAATTTTGAAAAAATGCCTTTTTACATGCTAAACTGCCCCTACGAAACCTCTACAATAATTCCTCTGGTATTGACGGTGAAGCTAACCTGTTATACCCTCTTCCCCCCTTACAATTATATATAGTGTTACACATATACAACTAAGCTATACACGTTTTTTAATATCAAAGTGGAAGACTTATTAGACGCTGACGAAGAGAGGGAAGACGAAGATGAACGGGACGAAACAAAGCAAAGATCTTACTATTTAAGGGAACACAAACCGTTGACCCAAAAGTTCGAAGTGTCGTTTCCAGGTAAATATACCAAAAGAAAACGAACTTAAATTTCTTCCAAAATTATTATACTTTTTTATTATTTTAATTTAATAATTAATTTGTATTTTTTTGGAGGAAAAATGGTTTCCTGACCAGTTAGTGTTGTTAAATAGCCTAATTTTAGTCAACTTAAAAAACAGCTAAGCCAAGTTTTTATCCTAACAAATTCCTCTCGATCTTTAATTTGAGACTCCATGGAGGTTTAATTGAGGTAATTTAACAACGCCCCTTCCGGTCTTTGCCCGATGCAGATTTCAGTATGGTTGTTAGATAACTGACCTCACACAAAACGGGACCTGACCAACGGTTTCCGGTTCGATCTTTGAACCTTCGCTAGACAATTTAAAATTATTTTTGGAAAAATTATTTAAGTAAAATAACATTTACTATTATTATTTAAAAGGTCCCAAACCCCACAGAAATAAATATTACGCCGAATCTAATGCTTACAAATCGAGAGTCAAAAATAGAGCAAATAAATCCTTGGAGGATAAAATGTAAGTGTTTGTATTATATATATATACTATATTTTATTATGATAATTTTTCAAGAAAAAAAAACGAATATAAAATCAATCATCAAATTTGAATTCCTCGGTTGAGGTTTGGAGTGTCCTATCTGACAGTTAATTTATTTTTAGGTAATTAGCAATTAACGGGTAATATAAATGTCGCCTTATTTTTGTCGCTTAATACTCGACGTATTTAAGAACTCTGTGCCTGAATGTTCTCATAAGCGGTCCGAGTCATTAATTTTTTTTATTTTAATGAGTTCCATTATGATTATTATCGAATCGTTTTTTAAAAAAAAAATTTTTAAACTTTAAATCGTTTTTGTTTGTTCTCTTCGGTTAATGCCTTTCTTCTTCCATCAACTAATAAAACATATAATAACTCTAGTATATTTTATAGATTCAATAATAATGTTTTCCCGTTAAAAAGGTACTGATTCCCATGAGGTTTTATATAATTTGTATACATAAACTATTCATTAAAGTCCAGCAAAAGCAAAACTATAATATCTATGCCACCAGGGGATCGTTGGGGTTAATATTTTATGTAAGATTTGGCTGTTACATGGACCTATCATCACAGGTCCATCATTATATATAACGAATGGATAACGTGATCTTACAATGGTAATATTTCATTATTTCCTTCCCGAGAAATTTTTAGGGTGATTTTTTTTGTAAATCCAAATGAGCTAATATATTTAGTTTATTTTTGACTGACCAAATTTCTTTAACATAAATCGTCAAAAAAAGAATGAAAGAAAAATGTTAGAAATACTACTAATTTTTATATGTTAATAACAATTCAGAAAATCGAAACACTTGATCAGAAGGTCGTGCTCTTTGTCTGATTCATCATCCTCAGTTTCTTCCTTGGATTCTATCAACGACAAACGGTTTAGGAGAAAAGAAAGGAACAAAATATTGAAAGCCCGTAGGAGGTTATACACACTATATATTTTTTTAAAAATGTAGTCTAGATTAGGTCTGCAATGGGCTGGTTTTTAGCCCGCCCACCCACGCCCGCTCATACTTCGGGTGGCGTGGTCGGGTTATCTAAAATATTTTCAACATTGCGAGAGTGGCGGACGGGTTAAAAAATTTTAAAATAATGGGCGGGCGTGGACGTGTGAATTCTTAATATTTTTCAGGCGAAATGAGAATAAGAGATTTCAAATTATTAAAAAGAATAGTTTTATTTCGTTTATTTAGAAATACAAAAATAAATAAAGAGCCAAACCGGCCATTAAAATAATTTTTAAACATTAGGCCGGCTGGTTAAAAAAAAATTTATAGATACAATTGCAGACCTCTAGTCTAGATCGATTAAATATCAAATAATACCTTCTAATGAGAAATAAATTATTAGTTAAATAAAGGTTTGAGCTATTTTATAAAAGCCATTTTTTATCCGCATATTTTTACTAGATGTCTACCCCTTAACTTCACTCTAGATGATGTGTCCAAGAATTACGTTATGAAAGACAGGCTCAGAATAGGAAGAAGCATGGCTGACATAGAACCCATGACTATAGATAAGAATGTTTCCTATTTTATTTTATAAAATAATATTTTTCAAACATTTATAAAATTACGTATAAACTAATTTGCATCATTTTATCACGAGTTTTAGGTGAAAGCATTCTTCTAAAACATTTCAAAAATAAAATTTTTAGTAAATGGCGAGAAAACAGATGCCATAAATGTTCAAAATTTTTTTAGTCTACCGTCCTCCTATGTATTCCCAACGTTTTTAAACATCACAATATAATTGTAAAAAACATCCTACCAACTTTAAATTCGAAAGGTATGGTTCGACGATATTGGCGGCCTCAAGCCTCACGTGCAATGCCTCAAGGAAATGGTTCTCTTCCCACTTTTATACCCGTCAGTTCTGCAAGGATTGGATATTACTCCCCCCAGAGGAGTACTCTTTTATGGTCCCCCGGGAACGGGTAAGACTTTGCTGGCGAAAGCGCTTGTCAACGAATGCTCCAACATCAAAGGCACCACTTGTATAAAGAAATGAATTAAATTATACAGATTTATAATCATAATTAAATATAGTTGTTGGTAGGGTTTGGAATGCTCTTCAAAATTAAAAATCCTCAAAAAAAATTGATCAGATTTACCAAAAAAAAATATATTTTTTTATAAGTTTTTTGGGGTAAAAAATTTGTGATTCTTAGAATTTTTTTTAAAAAATATCATCAGTGGGTTGATTCTAAACCCGCATGCCTGATAAACTCGAGCCAGACGCTTATCTACGTAGGGCAGCCCTTCCGTCCGCGAAAAATCTTGCCCCCAAATCTGGCCCCTTAATAAAAAATTTCGGTTCCCCAATTAAAATAAAAGTCAATTAAATCTAAAATACAAAAACAAAATTTTTGGAAAATTTTTAGTTATTAAAATTTTTGGAAAATTTTTAGTTATTAAAATTTTTGGAAAATTTTTAGTTATTAAATTTTATTTAGCCAAATTATTGAAATATGCAAGAAAATACTTAGTTATAAAATATGCATTCACACAACAAACAGTATCCGCCTTTTTTATTCCTCTGTAAAAGTACTAGTGTTGGCGAATTCGTCAGTTCCCGTTACGATTCATCTCAACCACTTCTTTGAACGTGGTAAGTCAATCAATGTTAGCGAGATTTAATTAATTAAACAATTAAGATAAATCATGAATATTGAATATACTTTTTGCTAATCATGCGATGACACCTAAACATTAATTATACCAATACATGTCAACTATTGATATAATTTTTAAAAAAATTGAAAGATGACGAATATTCTTATTTCAAATACCTACTTTTCTAGGGAAGTTTTGATATTAAAAATGGAGAAATACTTCCTACCTATCGCACGATTATACTTAAACTTAATTAAAGATCAATAAATATTATAACAATATATAAAAAATTTAAATAGGACGATTTTTTTTAAAAAATATTAATTTGTGGAGTATATCTCAACCATCCTTAGGCACGGGGAGGTACTCAGGCAGACACTAATATTTATTTACGTAAGTTATTGAATATTTTCATTTTTGACATTCACTTTCAAGAGTCAAAAAAAGATGGAGGAAAGCAAAATTTAGTTTTAATGGCATCTGAAAAAAAATAACCCAAAATTTATCTTTTAGTTTATTTATATTAAAATTTAAAAATCAAAATCTGCTTATTATACTATATTGTAGTATTATTTTGAATATTTATTTTAGCAAAATATTTATGGCCTAACTATTTTATTTATTTCAAAAAAAAATAATTGGCCCTCCCAAATAAACAGTTGCCACACCCCCCTTCCCCTAACTGGAAAATCCTGGCTACGGGCTTTCGAACTTAATCAAACAAACAAAATTATATCTTCCTAAATCTAAAATTAAATAGAGGGTTTAATATTATAGGTATAAAATTGTATTTTAGGTATTAAATTAGCTTAATATTCCTTCGGAATTTTAAAAACAATATTTTGTTACATTTTCATTCGGATCTTTATATTTTTATTAAATTTGTCTTAAGATATTTAATGATTTGATGCCAATTTTTTCTCACATTTATAATAGTTGATCCTTTAATTATATCACCATAAAATAAATGATCATTATTTAGAATAGGATTTTATAAAATATCAAATTTAATATAAATAGATTATTTTATTTTATTTTTTAATTCTAGAAATATTTATTAAATTCCTAAACGCGTTCCGCTTTTTAAATCTAAACCTGAACCAGGTAAAGATATAAATAAAGGTTTCAAATGATCTGCATCGGCCATACTACTTCAAATCTGACCCGACCCGAAATTTTGCCCTATCCCAAACGAATTTTTTTTATTTATCCTTAAAAGCCCGACCTGAAATTTAAAAAAAATTATGTCTGTTCGTCCCAGCACGAATTTATTTAAATATAGAAAAAATTAAGAATTTTTTTAATTTGTAAAAAAAAATTATTGGAGTTTTATTTCTTGTAAGAATTTTAAAATATATAAATTTCTTCCTCAAAATTGAGTGATGTCATATTTAAAAATTTAGGCCCGACCCGGCCCCAACCCCAAATTATTTTTAAAAAATAGACCCGGCCCTTCACATTTCTAGTTTTAACTCCCTCTCATTTAAATACAATCCACTTTTCCCATTTTAATTTACCTTAATTAGGATTTTTTGCGGCTATAAAAAATATGTATATCAACTTTTATTTTTATAACTTTGAAAAATTATATAACTATCCATAATATAAACCGATCTAGATAATAGTCATGGCTCTAACTCGAAAAACGACGCCAAGATTTCATTTTTCATGCGGAAAGGTTCTGACTGCTTGAGCAAATGGGTAGGGGAAAGCGAGAGACAGCTGAGATTGCTTTTCGACCAGGTTCAAATAATCCATTTTTTTTAACAAAAAATATTTATATTCATTTTTTCTCCCTTCAGGCTTACAAAATGAGGCCCTCTATAATATTTTTCGATGAGATAGACGGTCTAGCTCCTGTCAGATCTAGCAGGCAGGAACAAATTCACAATTCCATAGTTTCTACTTTCTTAGCTTTGCTGGATGGGTTGGATTCGAGGAGCAGCATAGTAGTCATAGGTTTTAAATAACACAATAGTCCTTATAATATCTTCGTAACATTTTTTTTAAAATCTATTTATAAACACTACATTATATAGGCGCGACGAATAGGCTGGACGCCATAGATCCCGCGTTTAGACGGCCGGGGCGTTTCGATAGGGAATTCCTCTTTCCCATGCCTAACCGAAAGGTTACAGCATTTTTTGTGAAATGTTCTGTATTTAAATATGCATTATTATTTTTTATATATTTATTCATTATTATTTTAGAAAAACGCGAAGGGGGGAGAGGTGGGATTTCAAGTTCATCAATAAGTTTTAACAACTACTTTTCTTCTTAAAATAACAAATGAATTAAAGGTTAGAGAAAAGATTTTCAGGATTCACACTCAAAAATGGCAACCTCCCCTGGAAGAAAATCTATTCAAAGAATTGGCTTTACAAACAACAGGTTTATACACACTTTTAAAATGTCCATTTTATTTTCAAGCTTATAAAATTAAAACGTAATGTGGCTCTTTATTGAATTAAATGACAAGGGCCTTATTTACAAAAAAAATTATACAGGTTTCACTGGGGCCGACATTAAAGGACTATGCACTGAGGCCTCTTTGATCGCTCTCAGACATAAGTACCCGCATATCTACACGTCTAATCAAAGGTTGGATATCGACGTTCAGGCGATCAAGGTTTTTTAAAATCAAAATCATAGGCCATTTCCAGACAGTACGTTTTTTCAAAGCTGTTTTTGGGTACTGTTACAGCAAGCAATTTTTTATTTCTATAAAAAATGTTAACCTCTCGAATTAATTTTTTTTATATAAATAATATTTCTTTTAAAAAAACAATCTAAATCCCCATTTTTTTAATCGTAAATAGACAACAAACTTATTTGATTTTAATTACGATTAAATGGCGTTTTGAAATGTGGGTTAGGATTGTTTTTTAAAAAAAATAATATATTATAAAATTAATTCTAGAATTTAACATTTTTTTGAAAATAAAAAAAAAATTGCTGGTAACATTACCCAAAAGCCGCTTTGAAAAAATGTTCTGTTTATAAATGGCTATATACGAAATCAAAATATTTTTTTTAATACGATTTTAAGAAGTGAATTTAAACATAGAATTTATGTTTGTTAGTTATATTAGTTTAATATAAATTAAGCAAGAATAGATCTAAGACGCATAAAATACTCGGTTGTATATTTTTTTTACCAATATATACTCAAAAATATTTCGTAAGCCACTCTGAGAACTCTTCTTATTAAAATTATAAACCCTATATTATTTGGTTTAAGGTCAAAAAGGCGCACTTCGCAAAAGCCTTTAAGGTACTTATCCCATCAACGCTGAGGCATAATAAATTGTGGACAAGGGATATTCCTCATTCCTTAAAACCGCTTTTAAATAAGCAGCTGACGGAATTACGAGCCAAGATCACGCAAATTTTTCCTCCTACTCGTAAAATTTTTGGAAAAAGTTTAGCTCAATATTTTTTGTCATTATTTTAAGATAAACATATGATTCATTTAAATGAAAATTTAAAAATAAAAATATATTTAAGAAAAGAGGATTGCGTTTTAATTAAATATCAGTCTGACATATCGCTAGCACTTGTAATTTAGGATTTTCAGCGTTGCTAATCACCCATTGTCCTAAATATACAGTGAAAGGGGGGATATTTTTTACCAGATGTTAAAACAAAATAAAATGATATTATTGTATTTTTATTTTAATCATACTTAAACATTAATCAATGTTAAAAAAATATTAAACAACTTTTTTAAATGTCACACTTAAAAAAATTTTTATAAAAAAATATAAAAAGTTTTGTCATCACATATCTTCTTTTACTTAGTTAACGATATTTTATGTAGAATAATTTTAAAAATAATGATAAAATATTCATCTTAGTTATTAGATCTTAGTCAAAATCTTTTATTTCTGAAAATAGTTTTTTTTTCTCCCACTCTATTTTATCATGTTTGAGATATAAATTTAATTCAATATTTTATTCAATTCATATATTACATATAAACAATATATAATAAGGAATATATTCGTAATTACACTAATATTAATATTGATTATATAAAATATTTAAATGGTAGTTCATAATCATCCCAAATTTCTTGCTAAGTAGTACCTATTTAATTAAAATATTAAAAGTTAATGTAATTTATTATATAATTAGATTACTTTAGTCAATTGGTAGTCTACGATAGCCCAGCTCCAAATAGTAATTTGTCTTTCAATGTTTGATATGTCCTTTATTTTTCTCACTCTTTGTTTAAGAGTGAATTTTTTTAAGGGATCACCAATAATTTCTAATCCCGTTTTATTTTATGAATCGAGATCTTCGATATATTAACAAATCTCACAATCTTCATCTGTTCCTCCTCTGGCATAGGTAAAATTTTTATTACCATGTCAATCTTTTCTTTGTTCCAACAATGGTATGTTCTTTTCGGATTAGGAATAATTGAGGAGAGGATGATTTGTATTTTCATTAATGGTAGCTAAAGAATTATTATTTGTGGAAATGTTAGAATATGATTGATTGATAATTTTCCATCTAATTCTCATCTGAGATGGGCAAAGAATAATTTACAGAAGTAATTGGGAATAAAGGAGAATTATTAATAAGTGAAAGATATTAAACATCGAAAAAGTAATTAATTAAATTAAATATGAAAATATTGAAAAAATATTGTAAATACGCTTTTTATGTAAAATTATTTTTTTTTAAATTGTACAAACTTCAAGTGCGGCATTTTTTAAAAAAGTTGTTTAATATTTTTTTAACATAAATTAATGTTTAAGTATGATTAAAATAAAAATATAATATTATCATTTTATTTTGTTTTAACATCTGGTAAAAAATATCCCCCCTTTCACTGTAACCAATCTTTCTATTATAAATTTTTTAACCCTTTTTCTATATTTCAAAAAATGTTTTTTTTAAAATAAATCATTCAAAAACGATAATAGAATAGCGACAAGTTATAGTTGGGTAATTTACTATATTTTTAGGCTTTTAACCAAATTTTTAGCTTGCTAAAAAAATCCCGAAAACTATTACTTTTAGCATCTGAGTTTTTCTTAAAAATATAGCAGCTCACATTTAAAAGAAAGAAATATAAATTAAATCGCCTTAATGCAAACGATTTTATCGTGCAAAGCGCCTATAGATTGAGCCAAATTGGCCGACACAACTGTAGCGGCTTAGGGTTTTGAAATTTTATAACAAAAACCTATCTTTTTATTTGTCATACACAGAAAAAATATACAATTTTTTTAAATTCTTCTAAAACCATTTAAAGCTTGCACAAGTGAAGGGGAGGAAAGTCATGATAGCGATTCAGATGACGCGATGTCCCGGTCTAGTTCCGTGGCCTCAGAACTTATGAGTTGTTTAGGCAATTTCAAGGACCACGAATCAAAGTCTATGAGGTCATCTTATAAAAAAATGAATTGATTTTTTTTGAGATATAGTTGCTATATCGATACTCCAGGAATGTAAAATTATTTGCCTGGGTGAATGAATAAATCTTGAAGCTATAATTTACGTTATCATTTTACAATAAAATCAGTTTATAAACCTGTACCATGACAAATCCAGTAACCCCAACCGAAATTACAAATGATTTACACGTGTATATTGTTCAAAATCGTAGTTGAGTCATTTTAAAGCGTTTATTTAGGGCTTAAAAAATTGTTCGTTGCTTATAACAGAGTTTTGAAAACCGTGGAAACAATGTCAAACCTAAGAATCGGAACCAGAAATCTCTTTAAAATGTCGGAACCGGAAGCAAACCCCCTTTAATTAATGCGCAGAAACCGAAATTGGAACCTTCTTTTTTTTTAAACAGAGTTTTGGTAACTATAGATTTATAAATGGTGAGCTGTTATGAGGATTTATTTATATTTTTTTAAATAATGGGTTCTTTTTCCGGTTCAACGCGGTTTCCAGGTTTTGTAGTTTTAATTCTAAATTATGAAAATCAATATGGCAAAAGACTGAATTAAATAAACTACTTAATATGAATCGCTCAACATGTCGGACAATTATAAATTAGTTACACTTTTGTTTGACCCGCGTCCGGGACTAGCCAAAGTGGATTCCAATTGAAAATTTTGAGCAAGGTATTTTAGTAGTTCTGGTTTTATAGTTCTCCAACTTCCTTTTTTTTATTCAAAGTTCTAAAACCCTAAAATAAGTGTAGAGGACTGGCGTGGGCCTGTACCTGGCCTGTGCAAATATTTTTGGAAAAGCCCATATATTGGCTTGCCCTCGTTTTAAAATAATTTTATACGAGTTATCCAGCCCGACAAATAATCATTTTTAGAAAAATTTTGAACTTCAGTCCCAGCTTTTAAAAAATATTTTTCACAAGATGTCAGGCCGATGTTCCAACCTATTTTCTGGATATATAATATGATTTGAAATGATTAAAATAGAATGAACTGTTAACGACCGTCTTTAAAGGAATGCTTGGATAATTATTTCAAATAAGATAGTGTATGAAACCATAACCCACATGCGCAAACTATTCAAAACGTGAGGAGAAATTTAATATAAATCTCTTCGATATTCAAGCGAATGAGAAGATCAATTCGATTTAAATTAAATCAAATATATATTTTTTGTATTATATTTAGAAACCCTTTTAAATCTCACACATTCAGACCACGAATCATATTGACCGGGCCCAATAAAGGTTACTTCAAAATTATTAAATATTTTCATAAATTCAACCCTCGAAAAATAAATGAACATAATATATATATAATATATAAATAAATGTTTACCTTAATTTAAATCAGTTTTTGAAAAAAAATAATCCTATAAATTTTTTGTGCAAAAATCGATTATTTTTTTAAAAGAAGAGAAATTTTTAATCAAGTTTTTAAAAATGACAAAATCTTTTATAAATAAATCTTTTCTAATATTCACGTATAATAAAGGTAGAAAGAAAGAATATAATGAAGTTTTTTTTCAAATTCTTAATTTAAACCAAATTAACACTGAGAGCCTTTCTTTATCTACCTAATCTTCGATTTAATGTAATAAGTGAAAATAATTACTATTAAGATTATCCCCTCGGTTGAACATTTTATATATTTACTAAATTAAATAATAAAGATAACGATGATAGGCATATACAATAATTTACTTATGTAATTAACAAAAAAATTAATAACCGAACAATAAAGGTGCCGGTCAAACCTCTTATTTGGCTCCGGCATTGTTGAATGATATGGATGGCATACCGGTTAACGTTATAGATGTTACTACTTTGTATGGGAGTAGCTTTAAGATGGCTGAAGAAACGTGTAACGAAGTATGTTATATAAAAATGGATGTAATTTTTTGCAAGGGAATAGCAGATGGTTACGAGGGTTATAGAAAAAATAACTTTAAGGTGAGGTAATTTAAAACTTCTCTGGTTTGTTTTAAACTCTGCGAGAAGCTTATCATTGTGACAGTGGCGTTGACAAGCGTAGGGATATGGATGGAGTTTGAAGATTACCTCTCCTTTATTTCATACAAAATAAGATAGGGTAGAATTGTGTATTCTTAATAATTTTATTAAGACAAACTTCTATTTAAAAAGAATACGTGAAAAAAATCGAAATAATGATTATTTCTCAAAAGATGTCTAGCCACATTAAAATTTTTAGTAAAATTTTCACTAAAAGTATTATAAATTATATTTGGAAAACGGGACTCTTCCCAAAGACCCTATAATTCGTATGGGATTCACGTTTGACCTTTTCTAATTGTAAAAGCGCACTTAGTATTACTTTACTAAAACAATCCATCAACCCTAGTCTTTGAGGGTTAAGATAAATAATTTAATATAATCGTTTTCAGTTTCACATTATTTCCAAAAATGCCACGACTATTATGACTATTTTTTTATGCCACTGTTACTAAGTTATTAAATATCAAAGCTATTTTTTAGCGTTTTCGATCACATACGCATTTAAAGTAATCCTCATTGTAATTTACCTCACGTTATGATGAAGCTCTTAATTATTTTTTTTTAAACTATTACGCCCTCTTTTAAATTGTCCTACAATTAATAGACACGAAACAATTAAGAAATAATTTTTAATTCTCCTAATGACCTCTTTCTTTTTTTTAACAAATACAACCCAGATATTTAGGGAGGCCCAACGACTGGCCCCCAGTGTTATTTATCTTCCTCGTATGAATGAGTGGTGGTCCATTCTCTCGGAAACGACCAAAACAGCTTTCACTACCCTCGTGAATGGGCTGCCAACAAACTCTCCCATACTCTTGATGGCTACCAGCGATTTCGAATATGAATCCCTTCCTGAAACGGTTCGAAATTAATAATCTATATTGTATTTTTAAAAAAAACTTCCAACGTTACGTGTGGATATTTATATTTGACGATTTTTTTTAAAAAAAAACAAATTTGCCATGGCTATAAGTTTGAGGACGTAATCTGTTTTGCTTTGAGTTAATAGGTTAGTTAATCTCCTTCATATTATGTTTTGACTTATGGGTACACGCAACCGGTGGTCGGTAAATAGTTCGTACTGAAATTTAATTCTAGGCGAAATATATACGCCTATTTATATGTAACTCTAATAAAAAAAATTGTGAAATTTTGGAATTCTACTTATGAAGAAAAGTTTGGCCAACATCAGACTCTTGCCCCTAATAAAACCTCATCTGGCTTGACCAACATGTGAAATCCCCTAATTTAAACTAAATGTAAATAATTGTTCAGTATGGCTAACTCTGGTTGGACGTAGCACAATTCTTATATTTTTCATTATTTTTTTTATAAATGGGTGTAAATTTTTTTAACGAATAAATTATATTTTTCAGATTTGTATATATACTAAAATATTAACTTGAGTAATTTTCTTCTTTTTTTTACGGGTTTTCAGATCAAAGAATTTTTCGATGACCCTTCGCACGTTTACCACGTCAGCTGTCCCGACAAAGTTGAAAGGAAAGATTTTTTTTCTTGCCTTCTAAAAGAACGATTTTCGGATTTGAAGAGCCAATATCTTAAACGGCGTAAAAAAAATTATTGAATAATTTTATAAAGAATCTTTCTTACATACGGTTTCCTTCAATTAAACTCAAATTTAAAATGCCCATCGCGATTTCTAAGCACCATAATATTTCACCAATGAATATGAGAAGTAAGGCCTGATTTATAGTAAACGCTTATGTTCGAACTTGCGTTATTTACAAAATCAAGCCAATAAATAAGTATAATTTATAAATATTGAGCGTTTTGATGAAAACGCTATGATAAAATCTGAAAAATATATGTTGCAATATATATTACAAAAATTATTAAGGCCGATAGCGTTGAAGGACGCGTCGCTTGAATATAACGCGTTTACTATAAATGAGGCAAAACGCATATTTATAGTGTAAATTTGATTTTCAAACCTTTTAAGTTTTAAATTTTTAATTAATGTCAACTCCCCCATCTACGACATTCCCCGAAATACATAGTCTCTGAAGAAATTCAGGTTGCTAATAAATTGCTGGGGTTCTAGAATAGAACGGTGTTTACTTAATTTATGAGTCATTAGTATTTCTTAACCATTTATCTTAAGGGCATATATACATTTTTATTCCCATATATTTTGGTGTAAGAAATATACGTATCTTTTCTTTGTGTTTCAACTAGTAATGTACCCGTCGCTTGGCGATGTCCCGAACGTCGATCAAAATTGTCACCTCCGTGGGCGAGATTCGGACATAATGACGACAACGAAAAATAGGTTCGAATAATTTTGATTGAAAATCGAATTAAGATTAATTATTCAATTTAATAAAATATGATTATATTTTATTTGAGCATGAACTAATTCTTTTGATCAATTTAGAATGCTGCTTATTTTCAGTTTTTTAATCACAATTATATCCTAAATGAAATTATGTGATAGAAAAACCTCGAGTATGACTGCCAATTCGTTTGGCCCAACTACCGATATCCGAAAATTGACCCCCCGAGAATTGATCGACGTACGTGAGTCGGAAGAAAACACGTTGAGGGAATTAAGGATATTTTTGAGGGACGTTTTGAGCCAGCTGACTAGGGATAGAAAGTTTCAATCCTTTGCTAAGCCCGTCAATCCTAGAGAAGTAAAATCATTTTTATAATTATGACAACAAAAAAAAATTTGAAAAAATACCTTTCTAAATGTTGGATCGAATTTTTTTTTAAATACTAATTTTTATATATTTTTAAATCTTATGCTTTAATTATTTGCCGTGTCCATTTTCCCATTATCTTTCTTCCCTCTTTTCTTTCTAACTACGCAAAACATGTTTTTTTAGAAATCCTATCTTGAAGTACTTTTAGAATGGCTAACTCATGCTCAAACGTTTCTTACTTAATATCAATTATTTTATTCGCAAAAAAGTATTTTTAAAACTTTCTTTTAATCTAATTACCTCTCACATCAGATCATAAATTTCAATTCCCTATGTACCATTATTTTTGTCAGTTTCTGAATAACATTGTCCAAACCACATATATTTCACCTTTCACGTGGCTTTTATAAAAATTATATATGATTGAATTGAAACAGAAGATTTTACTATTTCAGGATGTTATGAGTTTTTTTCTCACTAATACAAATATTCCTTTAAAACTCAAAAGCCAAATATTCAACCAATTAAAAGGTACCCGACTATTATGTCATAGTAAAAAGTCCCATGGATCTTTCTGAAATGAGGCATAAAATCGACTCGGGTTCTTACCCAACTCCCTCCCATTTTCTTTCCGACATAGAACTCGTTTGCCGTAACGCGCTTGAATATAACCCGGATCACACGCCGACCGATAAGCTCATACGTCACAGAGCCTGTTCGCTACTCGATGAAGCCCGCTCCGCAATTTATAAACAGCTAGAACCGGCTTTTGCCCAGTTATGTCAAGACATCGAGCAGAGTCGACGAGAAAGAGGTTTTTTTTTAAAAAATTATTAAACAGGAAAATCCATAAAATAGGAATGAAAGGGGTGAAGATCTGAAGATTTTTTAGAATCGAAGACACTTTTTAAAGGTGATTATTTATACATCCTTAAACGCCCGTCATTAATTTTTCTAAAATTTAAGGAATATCACTTTCTATATAAAGCATGATATGCTCTCTCTCAAACACTTCACGATATATTCGTTTAGATGAATTATAAACTATTGGAACGGTCTTTTTAAAATACTATGCCAAGGCTATTACTCCTCATGCATAGTTTTTGCAATTTCGCAGTGAATTAAAATATTCTCTATTTTTTATTCTCGCCCCTGATTCGCGTTAACCGTGAATAAAAGGTTACCCTGCATTCACATGTAGCACGAATTCGCGGCTAAGTATACAAAATATGGTTGAATTTTTGTGTATAACTATGAATGCAGGGTTATATAGTATATTTTTTTTAAAGCCTGGCATAAGAGTTTAAAAACACATCTTATTGTTATGAGATTTAGTATAAACGTTTTAATTAGAATATATCGATGGAATGGTATTTTAAAAAAATAATAATATTAAATAAACTATTTTGGAAAAGCATTTTTTCTGTAAGGAAACAAAGTAGAATGGCAAGACAATTTTCGATGATTTTTGAATCCTTGAGAATAAATTTAATCGGCATACTTTTTCTTAAAAAAATATGCTTTAACTGATTTGATGAATTAATCTTCTAAAAACATATACAAAATTTATTAACTAACTAAATTAGGTCTTAATTAAAAAAATTTTTTAATGAATAATTTATATCTTACGATTTGAGGCGAAAAGGTAAACTCTCTACCACCATTTTTAACCGTGCCATCTAAAGATATGAAAGACCAAATATTTTCCTCCTATTACGAAAACATTAAATATGACCCCATCTACAGATCTCGCAAATTGAATAAAGTACAATCATTAGTCTAATTTTTTTTTGAAATTTCTCCGCACAATGCAGGCGTGATTTAAAAAATATATATCCCAATCACCCTGGAACTATTTAAAAAATATTAAACGTGTATTTTTCTTTTCTTTAAAAAAAACTACCTTTAGAAAAACAATTATCAGTCGCCCTCTCACGAAAACACAGTCATCAAGGAAACACGATTGAGTTTGAAAAGCAAAAAAAATTGCAATCTTAATATATCTTCTTATTCTCCTCATTTGCGGAATCAAGAACTAGTACCCAAAAGCTTCTCTAATGGTGGATTATTATATACACCTTATTTTATGAATAAAATTTTGAGATATTTTTGGGGGTTTTTTTAATGACTTAAAAAGGATATATAAATATCTCGTAAAAAAAATTGGAATAGTTCTCTATTATTAATAACAGTTAACAGTTGTCATTAGTATATTTTACAGAGCTACTAACCCGTAAATTTTTTTGGCCTGGTTTTTCAGGTTCAAAACTGGATCAAAATCATGAACCTGGTTATCGAACTCACCCGGTTCACATCGTTAGCTTCGGCTTGGAGCCCCTGAAATTTTAAAATGTAAATGATAATGAACACGTATTTTGTCATAAATTAATAGGGAAAGTAATAATCTTACCTTACCAAGTGGAGTATCTTATTTTACAACAAACACTTAAACATTTACACGTTATATTAATGATATATATCATATACTATTTTATACTCCCTCCTCGGAAAACTATTGAAAGGACTGCCAGAAAATGGTAATGACCTTGTAAGGACGCCCCTGTCTAATGATAGGGCTAAAGATTTGACTAAAAATGCTAAGATTTATTTGCGGAAGCAGAAAAAAATTTCCATCTGGTGTAAAAGTAGTAGGAGACGCAGATTTAAATCCAAATATAGGTAATAAACATTTTATAACAAATTAATGTTTTTTTTGTTCAATTTGCAATATTTTTTCTAAAAGCTGCTAAGCTATTTATTAAATTAAAATTGTTATAAACCAATTATGTATAAAAGAATTAGGATTTATTAAAAAATATTAAGTCATAAAAAGAAAAAAAAGAGTATTATAATATATTGTCAATTATGGGTCGTACACAGAATAAATATTCTTGTAATGATAGAGATGAAAATCTATTATTATAAAACGAGATCTGTTTAATTTAATACATTTTAATTTATTTAAAGGAGACCTAACCTTAACGAAGGAACAACAGTTAGTTATCTCCATAACAGTAACACCATGTTAGAACCCATTACTGAACCAATGGAATCGGATATTATAACTTCCACGAGTCTTGATAATTTTAGATCTTCATCCTTAAATGGTATTGTCAAACATTTTTAATTTTTCTTAAAAACAAGTTTTATTTGTTGTTTAAGACTCACCCAACCCGCAACGGTCTCCTGAGGAATCGATTGTTTTAAACGGGCTCGTTTTCTAATTTTTATTTTGTAAGTGGGTCTGTCCAAATCGGCTTTATTTTTAAGGTCGACATTTGTAAAACAAAATTTTTTTGTGAGTTTTGATATGAATATTCTTGTTCAGTTAATTTCCTTTTCCCCACATTTACCCTTGCTTATGATTACCTTAAAAATTTTTTTATATATGTTCGCGGCAATGTGTTTTTTTTTCAACTTTAAATTATTTTTAGCGCCTTTTTTAAAATTTTTTTATTTTACCGGATATGTATTTTAACATATTTCGAACACCTATCTTATATAAAAAAAACTAATATATATTATATTAATTTTTTAAAAGTTCATGGCAGGGTAAGTATTCCAAACATGATGGAATACATTTCTGGTAAAATCAGATTTTTAAATTTTATAAAAAGAGCTCAAAAAATGATTCAAAGTTTAAAAAATAACACAAATCTGTTTTATTTTAAAAAAGCAGCACATTTCTTTTTTTCTGTTAGAACAGGACATAAAACTGCCTTACCCTTCCATTGACAATTTGCGCGAATTCACGGCGAAGAATAGGAAAAATACACCATATTTTCTATACTATCAGACAGAACTTTTTAAAATTCATTTCCAAAGGACAGACTCATTTGTTATTTTTTTTTATTACTGATTATCTGGCGTCTGAGAAAGTTAGGGACCATTTTTTTTTATTCTTTTTCTTACTTTCATATTTTTTATGCAAAAAAGTAATAATTTGACAAATTATCATCCATTGTTTAAGTAAATAAAATTAGGGCTGCTGGAAACAGCCTAAAAAATCGCTTTGAAAAAAAAAAGAAATGTTATAAATGGCCTTAGAAAAATATTATATATTGCATTATTTTTTGTTGTTTATTCTAATTTTAATTAAGCCAAAGCCAGGAGAATGTTTACTCGTTCATTAAAGACAATCAAACGTGAAAATGATGAGGTCAATGCTTTCAAAATTGAGCCTTCAAGTTTATATTCTATTTAATTAAAGCACTTTTTTCGACCCCAATTTATACCGGGATATTAAATACGGGATATGCCCAAATCATTAATTGTTTGTAGAAATCAGGTTTATTTTTAAATTTACCAATTGTTTAAAATTGGAGTATTAGTATGACTTTAAATAATAATGGAATAAACCCATTTATTTTATACCTATATTCTTAAATTTCCCTATTGCTAAGTAAATTTTAAAAACTACAGTTTATTTTTCCTTCTCATTCCTTTCCTTTTGAAATTCTCTAATCAAGGAATTTTTGATCTCTGAAAATTTTTTTGAGAATACTCTTAACAGGATTTTTGATCAGATTTTATCTAATATTTAAAATCATTTTTTTAAATTTTGATCATTATAAAATTTTGAATTTTATGATTGAATTTTATTATTTAATTCCTAAGTTAATTATTAATTTTTGTCAACTCCCCCTACTTCATAATGCTTAATTATAGTTAACTTTCTATTTACATATTTTTAAATTGTCCAGGTAGGAATTTTACGTTTAAAAATCTATTTATTCTTTGATTATTTGAATAGAAATAAGGTTTTTTTTTAATATTAAACAAATATCCGATTTTTGACTTAGAGAATGACCAAAATATAATCTAATAATAAAATCTCGATATTTAATTTTTTAATTCGATAATTTTTGATTTGTTTTAAATAAGTTATTTAAAAAAATATGGCATTTTATATATTAAATAAAAGAGGGATCAAAATAATACAATAAGTTGATATTTCTCCACTATATTGGAGTTAATTAAGAAACTTAATTATATTGCGGTATCTGATACAGTAGTTTTGCGATAGTTAAACTTCGGTCTTTTGGAGGTTTACCATTCCTAGACATTTTCCCCATATTAAAAATTAGAATTTAAATTTTGTCATCGAAAATGATGATTCAAATGAGCATTAAAACGTTATCATTTATATAATTCTAGTTCTTTTTTTTAAATTATAAAGAAATTGATCCCACGCTAACTACCTTAACCCCCAAAGATTTCGAAACAATTGATATTAATGTCGAAAGGGTATAATCAATAAAATTTATGTTCGCAACTCATAATATAATTTATCTAACTCTTAAATAGAATAACGATTCGCCCATCGTATCTCCTTCATCTCCTAGAGGTATTTTTGATCTGAAAAAAATAACTAACGCATTTTTAATTACCGCGTGTTTTAAATTATGTATTTACACTAGGATCATCCCAATTTATCAGGTATAGCAAGAATAAGCCGCCTTCTTTTCCCTTAAACTTCTATCGAATTATCAACCAATCCATACTCAATGAAGTGGACCAAAAGACGTTAGGTGACCTCGAAATTCAATTTTTAGGATTGCTAGATGCTTTGTTGTTCAAAATGGTGGAAATATCGACGGGATTTAATATAGATAAACTGGAAAAAACGATTTGCAAAATAAGCAATATCGCAAAGACATTTATTGATAACTATTTGGATCAGCTTAAAAATACCTCTAATAAATTACACACTGAAGGCACGGAAGATGGAAAAAATGTTAGCTTTGAAAAAAGTGAAAAAGAACTAGATCTTATAGTCATACGAACATGCTTGCTTAAGATGGAGTGCCAATTTTTGAAGGTTTAAATTTTTAATTAATTTTTTTTTACACATAAAAATTCGAATACTTTTTATTACCTAATTATATTTCGTTATAGGAATTGGAACCCGATTTACAATGCTTATTTTCTTAGCCGACATTTAAACAAGGCAATATAGAATAAACAGTATCTTAAAATTTTAAATTAAATGCAACTATTTTATTTTTTTTTTAAAAAATTTATATTTATTTTCATGTTCACACTGCCCTCCCTGAGATCTGCCTTTATTAATTTAACGATATTTATTGTAAGCAAATATATATTTTTATAATTGTATCATTGAATGGTTGATATTTTATTCGTCTTTCCCATTTATGATAACCTAATCAAGAATAAGGATGATTTTATGCGTTCTAAAACCCCTAAATATAAAAGTTTTCAATATAAAGCACTGCTGGAAAGTATTTCGTGCATTACTCGATGGCGTGGCCTTATATAATTGTGTAATATGTATATTTTATAAGCTTTTCGAAATTTGGAATGCTTTTTATTTATTTTTGAATTAAAATTTACCCATGCATTTCTTATATATACAATTTCCCTTGATGGAATTCATGTTTATTTAGTGCATTTTTTTAAAAAAAACCTCATTTATTTTATAAAATTGTAATAGTATTCAAATAACGAAATATTCTTTTTCAAAATTTTAAAAAATAGTATTTTTTATTATAGTATTAACAAAAAATAGTTTTAAGAATTTCGCTATTTTTATTTGAAATTTTTATAAATTAAAAATATTAATATTTTTTTTAAAAAAAAACATTCCTTATGTTATAAATAATTTATCAAAAACTTTGCAATGTTTAGCAATCATTTTTTTCACAAAATATTTTATAATTTAGTGCGTAATTGTTTTATATATATATAAATTGTATTTTTTTTCCCATCGTATTTGTCAACGTGTAATAATAATAAAGTCTAAATAAATCTTCAGCAATACATTTTTACAAAAAATAAATAAAAAATTTTTTTTAAAAAAATTCATAAGCCCATTAGGCATATAAATAACAAACGACTACAAAAGCATTTATGGCGGTAACAAATTTTATAGGAAAATGACGTCGATTTTTTTAAAAGAAAACAATATGAAAAAAAGAAATAGCTACCCAATAATATATTTTTTTTTCTCCCAATTTTAAATAATACGCGAAAATTATTTTGTCCAATTTTCCATCCGCCAAAGATGCTAATTAATTGTTATTAGTAACAACCAAATTTATGTATCGAAATTTCTTCGTCAATCTTTTCCTTTCGGAGGTTTTATATAGAAGGTTAGCACGCTTATGATAGCTAATACGTGAGGCCAGTAATACATGGAGCTGTTATTATCAAAATAAAAAATATATTATTTTTATCTGAAATTGCGTAAATATGATGAGTAAATTAGGGTTATAAATCGTAAAACTTTTAAAAAAAATTTGATTTATTTAATTTTATCTAAAAAAGGTTTTCAATTTTAAAATAGAATCTTTCTTTGAGGTCACCTGTAATAAGTGTTATATTTTTACCAATAACTTTGACAAAATTAAGAGCTTCCTTTCCAAACGTGCTCGTGACCATTGGTATAAAGACTGTTCGTTAGGCCAGCATATTTTTTTTAAAGACTTCTGTCTTTTCGATGGCAGAAGATGAGAAGTTCGTATTTGCGGCAAAATCGATGTGGTGTATTCCCTGGTCAGTGGGAAACCGTTCGACCAGGAAATAAGGGATATACCATCCGGGCGTGAGCGTTATCATTTAAAAAACTCATTAAGAGCGAATGGGATTCTAATTATTTTGAGGGTAGCTAGGATAGTGTTAATTAATGAGGTCCGCGAGAGAACTTGCAGTGCACGGGATGGTAGGCATTTGATTCAATGAGATTGGCAACAATCTATGTAAATGGTGGGTACAAGCATTACAGCCAAGGCACTCTTATCTTCTGTCATCGTAAAGGAAATCATTTAAAAAAAAGAATATGCTAGCCTCAGGAATACAGACTTTATACCAATATTCACTAACCTTTTCGAAAATGAGGCGCCTGCAAAAAAAGGAGAGAGATTACAGGCAACCCTAACGAAGGATTCTACTTTCGTGAGCAGATTTCCCTCGAAATTTGTCGATCCAATTCCTTAAGCAATCGGTCCTCTAGAGTGATATAAAATTGTATAAAAAATTTTTTTACTTTCATTATCCACTCTTAATTTTATATCGATGCTCATTCTGATTCTTAAATAAAGTGCATATAAAAAAGTATCCGGTCTTTCTTTGCATTAAAAACCCGTGATCTCTTTCAGAATTAGGACTCGTGGGCTGAACCGGGGCCAAAAAAGCCTTTGTCAAATTTAAAGTTATTATATAAGTTGATACAACTAGAAGTATTGCGAGGTACCGGGGGGCCTAAGACCCCCGCTAATTTTTATTTTTAGCCCCCTTCCAAATTTTGAGGAGGAGCTGAGTCCCCTCCAAAAAATTTAAATCTTTTTTCAAATGTGTTAAATTTGAATCCATATTCTCTTTATCAATGTTATAAAATTTAAAATTAGATAGTTAAAAATCTTTTTAAAAATTTTATTTTCATTATTTTTACTTCTGCTTTATTTAAAGTAAAGAATGAGGTTAACCACCAACAAGTAGTGGAAATAATAGCTCCATTTTTAACCCGTTTTGAGCCAATTCTAAAAAGGCTAAACCGAATTTTTAAACGAAAAACTATAATCTAGTTTAAAGGATAGCTCAATCTAGAAAAATATATTCTCGCATCTAAGCTTAGCGAATTTTTTCGATGTTAGGATTTCACAGATTTAATAAACAGTGTAGGCAAAAAATAATGCAATTTTAACAAAATCTTTTAAATTTTTAAATAGAAATTTCAAATAAGTGAGTTGTTAGGATATAAATCTATTTAATTTTTTTTTATTGATTGACTGATATTTTTTAAAAATTCATATCAATAGGAACATGTTGACAAAAATTTAAATTAAATGAATAGAATGGGCTTCAAATAATAAATCAATAAAGATATTTCTAATGAAAATTTTTTAAAAATATCCTTAACTGTGTAGATATATCAAAAAACTTTCATCTTATGGATTTTGATCGTCGATTTTAGATTAAATAACTAATATTTATATATATATTAATTGACCTTCGATAGGAATGGATTCCAGATCCATCTATCCAAATAATATAGAAATGAAATCCTTTTTTTTAAAGAAATAGAGCCCAAAGAAAACGAAGAAATGAAAGATTTATGGAAAATATTTTTTGTTCATATTTACACATATTTAAATTTGTTTAGATATCGGTGATAATAAATATGTTTTATTTTTAAAACTACGAATATGATATAAAACGAGTGTATAATCCTAATTCATAGTTTGAATGAGCATTCACATTTAGCATGAATTCGTGTCGAAGTTTACAAAATATACTGTATTTTTGTATATTTTTATATACTTCGCCACTAATAGGCGCTCTAACTAGGTATGCGGGATAATTGTAGTAAGAGAAGTGAATTGTGAACATATAGAAGGATAACAACATATTTATGTCGAAAATAAATTAACTGTAAAAATTATATTATCATAATGACTATATTTTATATTAAAAACGTGTTAATATTAATTAGACAGAAAGAGGATATTATGTCTCTAAAAAAATAATACTGTGAAAAAAAAAATGTTATTTACCTGTATACAATAAGGCTCGGGCCATGTTTGAGAAGAACAAAGGGTATACTGAGATAAGCTATGGCGATTCGTGTCAAGAAAAATGTAAGGACATCGTAAAACCATTTAATATATTTGTTGCTTACGAAATATTTGCGATATTTACGTCGATTCTATATATAAACATATATATTAAAAAATTTTAAACAATAGCTTCCAATAAAGAAAATTAAGTATGTGAATATCGAACTTAATCATGTCCCTATATGAAATTCGCTCATAATGATAATGGAGCTACATTTAAACGATTCATAAAATTCGGTGATTTTAAAATTATGTTAACTATTCTATTCTATATCTCTTCATTCCCATCAAAATCATCAAAAAAAAAATTACACAAAAAATACCATCTTTGCGGCTTCGGTGAAAATCGCCCCAGATACAAAAGTAATGTAATAACCGGGCCAGAACCCGTGCCACATGGCCGAAACTAGGTAAACACAAAGTGTTCTCTGATATGAAACTCTTTCGTAAACTAAATGTCTCAGCCAAGCCATCGTCGATAAATTCCAGTTATTGAGGGCCGAATGGAGAGAAATGGAGGTTTCAAATCCAATTATATCTATGTTTGATATCAGATCCCAGCGCGGTGTGCCCCGGATTCCAATAGCTTTTTTTTAAAAAAATGAGTAGATAAGGTTGAAGTTTAGTGAGTAGGATCATTAAAAAAATTGCATAGAAGCTTAGACTAAGCCAAAACATAATATGCAGCGGTGAGCTGCCAAAATTTTGATAACCCGTTATGATTTTTAGGATAGCATGATAACCCACATGGAGGGGAGCTTTCTGGTCAGGCGGATTGTCATAAAATTAAAATTTCGAATGAAAAGTTATTTCTATCATTGTTTTATTCAGTAACGTGAAACCCAGATCCAATTCTCCATTAATGGAGATTCCCAATAGCTAGACATATTCAGTGTGGAGGGGGAAGGGAAATACATTCAAAATAAACATAATATAATACGATAGTTTTAAAATAAATTAATTAAACGTGTGGGTAACTTTTTTTTTCATATGCTATAACATTAAATTTTTTTTATTAATATATAGAACGAGGCTTCATAAGAAGCTGTTCATAATTCTTTTAGGCAATAATAAGATACTTTTACTCATATATAATATTTTCAAGATCTTTGGCATATTTTTTTCGGCTACAATTGCTAATAGTCCCTTGGATGTTTTCATTTCGTGTTTAGGGGGCCCAAAAATTTCTTTGCTCCTCGTAGCTGTAGATTGATAAAAATGTTAACTGTGCCTAATATCACTTGTTCTACCAATTTATTTTGCTGTAGTAAAGATTAAAAAGTTACTTTTCGGGTCTAAAAGGTAAGACTCGTATTGTTTTCATTTTTAACTAAATTTGACTTCCATAGAAGTAGATTGACCAAAATGTTGGCTATGTCCCATATGACTTAAGCTACTGCTCGGGACCAAAAAGGCAAGACTCGTATTGTTATCTTAACTAAATTTGGGTTCCAAAATTATTCTTTAAATTTTCCAGAACCCTGATATAGTTTCATTAATTTATAAGCGTTTATCGGTCATTAACGATAATTCCCAATATTATTGTTATCTTAACTAAATTTGACGCCTGTTTTTTTCATAGGTTCTAAAATTATACTTTAAATTTTCTAAAACCCTGATATAGTTTCAGTAATTTATAAGCGTGTATCTGTCATTAACGATAATTCCTAATAATAAGCGATCGTTATTAAACTTCTATAGCGATTCTTAAATGATTTTATTGTTCCTGGAAAATTAATTGTACAAAACACAGAATAATCTTTCCAAAATGCTTTATTTGTCGTTAAGTATTGTCTTTCATAAATAAATAATTATATATACACTTGTGAATATAGGATCATTTATAGGAGGAGACGGGGTTATATTGTCCATAAAAAATTTAAGTGCTATAAAAAAATAAATAAAGCAAATTTCCCAAAATTTTTAAGCGTAGTCTTATTCTTTATAAATATATCTGTATACGGTAGAAATTAATATATAGAAAAAAAATCATTTTTATTAATATAAAATTTAAAAAAATGAAAATGAAAATTTAAGATTTATGAAAAACATCCAGGGCACCTATTATTTTTCACGTAGCGTGTCAGCTTCTTTATTTTTAGATTTTTTATATATAAAAATGTTATTTCTAACTAAATAAATGAGAGAGAATAAATTTTTAAATTCTTAAAACAATCATAATTTACAAAAAATAAGTCAATCATCTTCATATTATCATTCGTAGCCCTAGACAAACTAGTGGCTACTAATATTCTTCTAAATTGAGCTGAATTCAGAACAATCCTTGCTTAAAGTGGCTAATCTGATACTTACCCCGCCAAAACCTGTCCCAGGTCTTCACAATTAATTAAAATTTAAATTGAAGATATTAAATTGCTAGAAATATCAAATTATTTATATATGATGAAATTGAGTTTATTTTATCATTTAGAATTGATAAATAAATTATATGGTTACTTTTGACGTGTTAAAATTTAAATTTGCATTTAAAATTTCTCAAGAGCAATTCTGTGCGAAACATTTTTAGACCTATTTAAGCACCTTATTAAAATACATACTTTGATTAAAAATTTCAAATTCTCAAAGTTTATAAGTTTTTAAATTATTTGAGAAGAAATTATTTGCCCCGAGATAACACTATCCCCGGTTTCCCCTTTATATATATATATATATATTTATATTTATAAAACTTAATGTGCAAACTAGTTCACTTCTATTAACAACCATGGTATTATAACAACCAATTAGGGCGATCTGACAATAGCACGGGCTAATAATATCTCATTAGATTATTCTATAATATTCCCCAAAAGCTCTTTCTTTAAAAAAGAGAAGGATTATTAAATGTGGAAAAATATAAAAAATAACTTTTTAAAAAATACATGTGCCAAAAATGGACAAAATTCGAACATTAAAATCAGAGTTTGAAACCTGGACGTTTAAAATTTTGCGCGATTCATTTTAGAGGTTTAATTTTTTTGATCACTATAACAATTTGGAATCGGAACCAAAGCACCTCTAGTTTGGGTCGATTTGGTGAGATTAAGATTTAAGCCAAAGTAACATTATGTATTCGGGGAGATTTTTCTCATAGATGGCAGAATGGTTTGTTGGGTTTACATAATATTATTTTGTCTAAAACCTTAATCGGGCGATTTTTAAAAACCTAAATCGGGCCATTTAACAACACAACCTGGAAGACTACATGGAAGAGTCCCAAATTTAGGATTCAGAACTTGGCAGTTCCAAATTTATGATCAGTAATCTACCAGTTAAAATTTTAGAAAACGAAATCATTTTTTAAAAATAATAAATTTAAAATTTTACGTTTAAAATATCACGATGAAAACTTAAACTAAGTATATAAAATTATTTTAGGGTAGATCCAAATCTATTCTATTTTTTATTTATTTAAACTTTTAAGGAAATTGTATGGATAAGCTGCGTCTATATATGTTATCACTTTTAAAAAGGTTTTTTTTAAATTAAAAATCCTACATTTACATTTAGCACGAATTCACGGCAAAGTATATAAAATATGCGCGAATTCGCGGGGTGGTATATTGTATACCTAGCAAATCCACACAAACTGTGAATGCAGGATAAAACAGCTTTGGAGATTAAGGTTTATGTTACTTGATGAGGTAGGGACATTATCTGGATCCTTATTCTTTCCTCTGACATTGGTAGTGATCGCCTCGTCGTTGGTATTTGATTCTGACGATTCAACGAACCCGTTGAAACCCAAGCCAGATACATTGCTAACTAGATCAGCTGTAATTAATTTATATATAGAGAGAGTTGATGAAAATAATCTATTTTTTGAACAAGAAAATTGGATACAGGATACGACATTTTAAAAAAAACATATGTTAAATTTGTTAAAAAAAAATAAGCTATGAAAGTAATGGCGAGATTCTAAAATTTGAGCTTAATAAATAAAAAAATCTCATATCATTATCGTTAAAAAGTCAATTAATTAACATCACGTTTTATCTACATTTTCTTAATATTTAATTTTTACTATCCTTTATTATTTTATTTTTTTTTAAAAAAAAAACAAGGTCAATTGACTATATACATTTAAATTTAAGGGAAGACTGGCAATATAGCGTAAGAAATTTATCTTAAGCTTTTTAATGTTACACGCCATACGAACTTTTATTAAAGTCGATAACAATGGCGTCGATAGGGGGAAAAGGGAAAATCCCAGAGCGCTAAAATAATATTCTTTAAGACAAAAAAAACTTTTTACATATGCGTAAGCAAAATATAAAAAACGGAGAGCAAAATATTTGATCTTTTTTTTAAAAAAAAAAAATTTAAGAATATGTATAACCGCAAGTCCATGCAAAATAGTATTTGATCCTTTGCATAGCGTTCGATATCCATAAGTAAACGGTTCGGTCGAACAAAGAATAATTGTGGATGAAACTGTAATCTCGGATTTTATGTCAGGAAAAATAAAATATTTATAAAAATATATAACAATACATAATTTTTGGCGAATGTAAATGTCCTGAACGAAAAGGCACTGAATAAAAATACCCAAGAACAAAAAAACGTTGGGCAAAAATACCTTAATTTTTGAAAATTTTTAAATGCTATAAAAATATAGATAATTTAAAAAAATTATCTCTTTCATTTAAATTTTCTTCAAAAATTGGGGGATTTTATCCGGTGTCTTTCAGTCCATGGGCATTTTAATCCGGAGTACTTTTGTTCAGGTCTTTTTGTCCAGGACATTTATGTCAATTATTCATTTTTGGCATATATTCAAGAATTATATTTTGGACATGTTTTTATTTATATATTAAAAAAAACAATGCTTATTTCTTCTTTTTCGATAAAAGTTTGTGAATCGAATTTATTGATATTTTAGAATTAGCCTAATATAACAATACATAATTTTTGGCATATATTTTTGAAATATCAATGATCGATGATTTTATGTATTAAAAATGTTTACTAATTAAAATTTAAAAAATGATCAGAAGAATAATTAATATTGTTGAAAGTTATAAACAAATGTTATTTAATTTTTATTCAGGATTTGAAATTGCTCTTCAAAATAAAAAAAAAAATCTTCAAGGATTTTTAAATCTCAGAAGATATTTTTACGCTGTGGCCTAAATATCAAAAATTAAATTCAGAAACTTTCGTAATTTTAACGAAAAAAAAGAGCTATAATTGTAGAAAATTTAATAGGTTTCAAAATTTTAACATAAGATTTGATTAAAATTTAAAAACTTCCGATAGTTTTTTATTTTACCTTAGAATTCCACATTTTTTTTGCAAAAAATCTTTCATAATAAAATCGCAATATTTTTTTGATCTAAAAAAAAATATTCAATTTTATGATCATAGCTCAAAATTTTGAGCAAATTATTTAAAAATCAAAGGAATATAAATTTAGCCGCCAAATATCATGTTATAAAATAAGCCATTTTCTTTTTTCTTTAATCAAAATATAAATTTATCAATTTTGCAAAAATATTATTGTCTTATTAAAATTTTTAAAAAAAATCAAAAACAACATCCTTATTTGCTACAATTAGAGGTGTTACCGATATAAATTATTATAGGCCAATCTGATATATTTGGCGATATATTATATCGATATCTGCCAATCCAGTTTTAGATACTAACATTTTAAAGAAAATGTCTATTGGGAAAAGAATAGAAAATAGAAATTATTTATTCCTAATTAAAAAAATGATTACTAAATTTTTTGTAAGTAGATAGTTATTAAGTCTGTATTAGCTTATAACAAATTTTTCAGTTGATACCCACTTGCCTTTTTTTTCTAAAATTTAATATTATTATTGTATCCTGTCCTTTTGATATATCAAACTGGCCAATTTAGAAATGTTTAGCCAATAAAAAAATATTCTAAAAATAAAAATAGAAATAATCAAGCATTTTTTTTTAAAAAAAATGTCCACTATAGCTATATATAAGATTGTGTGACTCACTATGGTTCAATTCTATGGGAAACAGTGGTCTGACTATAACTAAGGTATAAGCCAATGCCAATGCAGTCATAAATTTCGTGAGGCATGGTTTCTTATAAATAAATATATTCATTATTTTAGATTTTAACCAATTTAAGAAGAAATTTTTGTTCAATGCTAAAATCAGAACTAGTTATGTTGTTATTAGTAATATTTAGTTAATTTTATAATCATATTTTAAAAATATTTTAGGATATCTCTAAATCAAATAACCTTAAATGGGCAAGGAATGTGTTTTAGATTTAAAATTTTTGAAATTTACATTATTATTGATTAATTTTAAAGTAAAATGAATGAATATTATTAGAGGAAGAAAGTTGTTTATAAACTAACTAAAGCTGAGATTTGGTATATAGATTCAATAGTGTAGTTGTTATTGCATTTTGATATATTTGCATTATCACTATGTGCATAACGATTTTTAGTACATTTGTCATCCAACTATTAATAAAAATATTTTAATTTTTTTTATAATATATAATCTTAACTTGGTCATTATTATCATTGTTTTGATCACTCTTTAAAGAACCATTTTGAGATTTTCTAATGAGCTCTGATGTGGTTGAAGTAACTTCATCTGCTTTATTAGTAAGTAGAAATTTTATAAAAATATTCAGAAATGTACTATTAAATTATAACATTTATTAAATCTTAATAACATTCAAACTTTTTTATTAATCAAATTAAATTGTCTATAAACTTTTAATATGTTTGGTAAAATTTTTCCCATTTATAAACTCTATGTAGTCATTATAAAAACATAATGGTCCAGTTAGAAGTGTTTGAAAGTGAAAGCAGTAACTTAAATATTCAAGAATATTTGGTATTCGACTAAAAATTTATAAAAATGATAAATTTAAGCTAAATTTATAACTTTATTGCTCGTTTTTTAATTAGTGGTGTTTGCTGATATTTTAGTTTGCATGTTCCATCATGTAAACTAAATGCTAAATTTGTTAATTTTTGTGTCATAACCATTAGTGGACTAAATTTAAGTTTTATATAATATATATAGCATTTATATGTATAACCCAGTAATATCTAAAGTATATGTATGATATTTTTCTGTCATCCTTGAAAAATGTATAAATGACAAATAAATGAAGACAAAAATAGATAGAAATCTAATATATATAAAATAATATTAAATTAATAATGTTAATTTCTTACATATGGAAACGTTCTACCTTTGGGGATAGATAAATAAAAATATATGAGATTGAACATAGTATAACAACATGGAGGCAATCACTATAGATTTTTTTTATTAAAATATGATAATATAATCCTACTTCCCAAAACAGTAGTATAAAAATACAAATCCGATTATGAGACAATAAGCCATCCGAACATTATATGATGTTTTTAAAGGATTTAGTTTCTTACGTAATATATAAGCAAGAATTAATCCCAATAATTGAGTGACAACAAAATTTAGCTAATAGTACATTAACAAAAATATATTCTTTTTTAATTACTTGATCTATAGGTAAATTAACTATATCTGATAATGGCTCTAGATATTTAAAGCCTCTATAATTGGGAACTGAGAGTTCGCTCATAATACTAATATTTGCATATATATATATAAGATGATAATCTGATGATCTTAAATTTAAAAAACAGAGAGAGATCAAAATGTTGACCGAACATTGAAAGCGTTAAGGTTTATAAATGCCTTTTAAATTTTATTTATTTGGGAATATAATATATTTCATTTCATACCTTAGAATAGTGTTGTTAAGCGGCTCGATATGTGCTGATTTTTAAAAACGGCTAGCTGAAGAATATTGCCTATACCTTGAGATTTCGCTAATAGATGTCAAAACCTTTGTGCCATATATAAGCAAATATTCAGGCTTGTTTAATATTTTTCTGAATAGCATATTGAGTTAGCCGTTTTTCGTCTCAAATCGAGACATTTAATAACACTACTTTTGAGGGATATATTTTTGTTAGCATTTTCGTTAATGATATAATGAGTAATTTTTATATAAAAACTATGTATAATGCTGCATCTGGGTAAAATAGAAATGCAATATATCTGCTATTTTTAAATAATTTTATATCATACTTGAGTAGTCAAAATAATAAGGTAAAATTTAAAATTCCACATGTATTTTATGAAGTTTTATTTGCCAAGCCGATCACTTAATATATTTCACAAATAATCTTTACAAAAAAAATTGGTTTAACTGTCACTACCCACCAATCCGATATAAACTAGAATTACTGTTATAGTTGACCTTTGTTTATAAAATTGGCTTTGACTTGACTACTAGCTTCTTATAGCCTCATTCTAAAATAAATCCTCTAGAAAGTAAGGCAAACACACATGTTTTCAGAATATGCCCATTTTGACTGATATTAACTTAACGCTACCAGAAAATTTAACTATACCAAAGTTAGCTTCATCAAAAAAATTGAATATAAGTTGGTGCAACAACAATACCTTAGGAAAAATACAACAAATTAAATATCTCAATGCAGAATCAGATTTAACTGACGTTAATATAGATTATGCTAAAATATTATCAGATAATAGTAGCAAAACAGTCTATGAATTCCGTTTAGGATTTTGTACATCAAAGTTTGACTATGAGCCTGGTGATACAATTGGTATTATCTGTCAAAATATTAGTTCAGAAGTATATGAAATTCTTGAAAGAATTGGATGTAGTGATTATAAAAATGATTTTATAAGTGTTTCATATCTCAAACCAATCATGAATTTGCATGGTAATTCTCCTTATCAATATCAATTGATTGATCTTTTGACAAATATATATGACATTAGGGCTATTCCTAAAAAAGTAATATTAATTTACTTTTATAGTAAAATTAAATAAAGTCATTCTTGTGTACTTTAGCACAAGTGACAAAAGATTCAAAGGAAAAATTAAGATTGTTGCAATTATGTAGTAAGGAAGGTGCTAAGGATTATGAAGTCACAATTAGAAACACAAATATTTCACTTCTGCATATATTAAGAGCATTTCCAACTTGTAAACCCACATTAGAAAACTTATTAGGTAATATAATATAAAGATAATTATATGATAATTTTATTAGAAAATTTACCTCCTTTACAACCAAGAGCATATTCAATATCAAAGTTTATTTTAAACTAACAAAATTATTTTTTTTTATATATTTTTCAAATTATTACCATTTTTTATTTTTAAATATTAATATAAGCTCACCATATGAAATTCATAATAAAATAACATTTGTTTTTACGTTGATACAAATTCCATCTGATGAATATTTTCCTCAAAAACGATTTGGTTTGTGCACTGGTTATCTGGCAAACTTAGCAAAAGATTTAAATAAACAAAGTCATAAATTAACAGTAAAAAAGTATTTATCAGCCCTTTTATTTCTTCTTATTAAATAGAAAGATTAGATTATCTAATTTCTATGCTATTATAATAAAAATAAAATACAAAAAGCCACATACTAACTATCAAAAAAAACAATAACTGACAGATTTTCAAAAGATCTAATCCTTCTTTCAAGTTACCCTCATTTCAATCACTTTTGACTTCAAGCCCTGAACACAAAACTTTGCTCATTTACCTTGCTCCTGGTGTTGGGATTGCCCCTTTCTTAGCTTTTTTCCAGCATTTAACATTGCCCAAATCTCCTTACTCAAAAACAACATTCAGAGATAAAGTTGACTGCTGGCTATATCACGGTTGTCGCAATTACAACCAAGATTTTATATATCGGTTTCTATTTAAATATATTCTTAATTTATTATAAAAGTAATATGTAGTTGGTCATTTTAAACAGGTTCTGGAAAGATTATATTTATCTAATAAGAGCACTGTTTCAAAATATTATCATGCAATGAGTTTCCACTAGGGCTGTGCCGATTCACAAAATTTTTACTAATCCGATATATATATTTACCATCTATCTTTGTATCAATGTCATAAATATATCAATATTTTCTACCTTAAAAAAAACTACTAACTTTCACTAATGATTAAGTGTTTTTTTTACAAGTTAATATTCTCATTTAAAATATTTTCAATGTTTAAGGGTGTTAAACAATTCCATTTAGTCGATTTTTTAAAAAAGGCAAATAAAAATTTTAACCAAAATATTGCCTATGCTTCGAAATTTCGCCAATAGAAGTCCTAACCTTTATCTATAGGAAAAATCAATAAGCATGGGTAATTTATTCTTGGATAATATTTTAAGTTAATCGTTTTTAAAATTAACTAAATCGAGCCTTTTTACCCATACTAACTGAATGTGACTCGTTAGATGTTTTAATATCCTTTCTTTTTTCAGATAATATAACAAAAAATAATTATATTTTAGTTCCATTCATTAACTTATTATGAAATTATTTATAAAATAAAAAAAAAACTATATGACTAAAGATCGGCCCTATCCGATATTTTTTGAAAAGGCGAAATATTGGGATCCGATATTAAATATCGGCACAGCCCTAGTTTCCAAAATATAAAAAAAACAATTTGACGTTATACTGTTTGCTGTTGCTTATTTTCTTAATCTTGCATCTAGTGGTGTATACATGGGGGTCTGAGGTCGAAGCTCCTCCCCCATGGGGAAATAAATTTGTCACAAATTGTAATAAAATATTTTAAAACGAGATGCTTCCCAGAGAGGTTATACTTTATGGGATCGATGTTTTCCTATTTTCAATTGTAAAAATGCACTTGGTATTACATTACTTAACAATGGCTCAACTTTTTCGCTTGAGGCAAAGAATCGATCGTTTTAAATATCACCATAACCCATCCATCTTATTTAAATTTTTCAAAGATACCTAGTTATTTGACTACTTTCTTTAAGCTACCACTATCAAAGCTGCAACCAGCGATAGTATTATTAAATGGCTTGATTTTATTTTTTAAAACGGCTAAATCAAGATTATAGCCAAAATATATTTACCTTCAAAATTTCGCCAATAGATGTCTAGACCTTTCTGTCATCTATAGAAAAAATGGGTATACTTTTGGCTCAAATATCGAGTTAGCCTTTTTTTAAAAATTGGTTTAAATCGAGCCATTTAACAACACTACCCAGAAACATCAATTCTAATTATTTGAATTTATGAAAAAAGTTGATCTCTATAAAATGATGTTAGTAATTTTTTTATAGATATTTTGTTTAGTTAATTATTATTATTATAGCTTTTGTGCTTCTAGATTCTTCGTTCTATCTTAAATCTTGGTATAAATTTGAGTAAAATTTTGCAGATATACATATTGACCTATGCTTTAAATATTTGTTTTCACAAGTTAGGCAAACTTCATGATAATTAGGACTCTCTCTTAATATGTCAGATTCATATCAAATTTTTTAAAATATAACTCAAATATAATAAGATTTACACTATTTACTTCTATTCTATCTAATAAATCGGAAAGAACAAATAATATATATCAGAGACCTGCAGAGGTAACATTTGCACGGCACGGCCCGGCTTGGATTTTTATTTTATAAAATTTTCCCCGGCCCATATACTTTGGCCGGGCTTTTCGGGTCTTTCATAGAAGCATAAGATTCCAAAATATTTTGAATAAGGGAAAAGGAAAGCTTAATATATTTTTGAATCACAATTTAAAATCCGATATTTAAGACGTAGCCTGAGGCATGCTGTTTGTTTATTTCACTTATAACTGGTTTTTATATATTGCCTGAAAAAACAGATAATGAATTAGTAAATATTACATTACATATGGTTTCAGCCAAATATTTCAATGTTTGTTCTCGCATGATGCCAATCTTGGCAATTTCTACTTATTTTTGCCAGTTATGCGTTTTTCTTTTAACAAACGAATTGAAGTAAAATAATAATTATTGCTTATAACTTCTCGAAGTTTGGTTGATTTCATGCTTATAACCTGATATAGATTTTATTTGGCTTATAAAACGGTTATTTTTTTTTATCGGTGTTGATTGAAGAATTAATGATTTTACTAATCAGGTACTAAATATTAGCACAAGCTAGATATTTAGTTCTTCTATCTATATTTTCCATTCTATCATGGTGCCAATTAGAGATCTGCAAAATTAAGCTCTGCCCGTGCCCGGCCTGTACCCTGTCCGAATGGGCTTCGAGCCGGGCTCGGGCCTAATTCTATTTAAAATAATCAGGTTCGGGCTGGGCCTAATATTTTAAAAAAAATTCGGGCCAGGTCGGGTCGGACCTTGGAAATTATTTTAAATATATATCTAAATTTATCAATTTTATATTGTATTTTTTATGTAAAATAAAAATATTTGGTTTTATTTATTGAAACGAAACGACATATAACATATGTCTTTTATTTTGAGTAATTATAAAGATTAATTACTATATTTAAATAAATTGGGCCGGGCCGGGTCTATAAATTTTTTTTAAAAAAATGTCGGATTCGGGCTGGGCCGGCAAAACTTTTTAAAAAATTTCGAGTTCAGACCGGGCTGGCAAAATTTTTTTAGAAAAAATTTCGGGCCGGTCAGGGCTTAAAAAATTAGGCCCGATGCAGATCACTAGTGCTAATAACCAAACGGATTAAAATAATTAATACGAAACATTGATAAAATTTTCAGAATAAATTCTTTCAGTCGCTTTTTAATCGTAAGGATAGCCAAAATTTTGTTACTAATAATTTTTTTTCTTTATATTGGTTAAAGTACTCATTGGGATTAAATATTGAAAAAGAATTTGAAATCAGTGCTTACAATGTGTTAGCCAACTTTGACAGCAATGATATTAAGAAGATAATACCTATTTTACTACATAAAATATTAATAACCATGGAAAAATCAATAATATCTAATCATAATTTTTCACATGAAGGGATATTTCATAACACCTTAGATAAATCCTGGCTACGCCACTGCTTATGCAACCATAACATTAATGTAATTTATTCCATAATTTAAAAATTATATTTAAAAACATGTGTAATTTTTTAATGGAAAAAAAAAATATGGCAAATTTTTTTCTTAATTTTGTAAAATTTTCATAACTTTAAATGGTAATATTCCTTCAAGTTTTTAAATTTAGAAACAAGTTTTGGACACTAAACCAGCTTGCTAAACATGGGAAACCTTGCTTGTAAGTTTTAACATATTCTGATGGGTAATTGGAAGAAAAAAACAAGTTTGGTAATCTAAAATATAAAATACAAACCCAGACCAATAAAAAATAATAAAATACAAACCTAGGTCGATCATATTAAATATTTACCTCGTCAGATCTCTCTTCCAATATATAATGAATGTAGTATATTATTAAAACCCATTTTTGTTGAATATTTAAATCATGGTCATATTATTAGATTAAAATTGTTTGAATTGTATAAGGAAGGCAATCAATAATAAATATAGTATTAAAAAACAAGGATTTTTAAAATATTTCAGTGAGATTGCTATGTTTACATAAAAAAAGTCTCATAACAAATTGATATAAGTAGGTGATTATTACTTTAGGGCGGCTAAGGGCTAAAATGAGCGACCTTCAATAACCTCTAATTTACCTTAGCCTTGAATAAAATCATAAAATAACAAACTAGATTTGTCATTTTTAAAATAGGATTCGTAAATTAACATCTTAAAATATGAAATGGGTTATTAATTATTATATGGAAATATAAATAATCACATGCAATTAATGTAGGAATTAGGTAATAACCTTAATTAGATTTATATAATATTTTTACTTAATACAATTCACTTTCAATACATAAAAAAAAAAAATTTTGCTGCTCGTAGCCACTGCAACGCCCACTCCCCCATTCTTGTTGATTTCTTAATATTATATCCTGATTTCCAGCTTTATTTTTTCAATACCCGAAACCCCGTAATTGAACATCCTATGCATAGTATAGACTTTGGCCATTTTGTTGCCTATTATAATGTTAGCACTAAAAGGAAACTTGAATCTCAATCAATAAAAAAATAGCAAGAATTAATGACTTTATATAATTGTGATTTACTAATATTATATATTTTTTTACTATTATTATAACCAGTGGGAGGGGGGGGGGGTCCGAAGCAGCTGCTTCAGTAAATTTGAGTGAGGGGGGAGGGATTTTTTTAAAATTTTCTTTATTATTTAATTCTTTTACTGTTTTGTTACATCCATCATGATCAAGTGATTTCTGGTTTATAAATGTAATAATAAGACCCCCCCCCCTCAACTTAATATTTAATTTAATATATATTGACGGAAACTTTAGGTTGTTATCTGAGATTTCTTGTCACAAATTTTTTTCCAATTTAAAAATATTAACCAAAGAAAATACAAATACCTAATTAAAAATTGCAAATCGCATAATATAAGAGATGATTAGAAATTAGATTACTTATAGTATTAAAATGAATAAAGTTTTTTGCTTAACAGGTCTCTTATTTGGAGGTCTACACACAAATTCAAAATGGACATGTGAAGGTCTAGATAAATGGCAGAATATTAATCGTGATATTATTCTGCATGAATCTTCGCAGGCACATATGATGGCCGATTATGGAAGGCTTTCTCACAACAAAAATTCGATATTAAAATTTATAACACACCAGAAATAATGTGTAGATAATAACCGTTCTATCATAAGAATTATAATAAGATGTTTAGATTATTTAATATCTCATAAACAAGCCTTCTGGGGGAACAGGCAACAAGAAAGCTAGATGATGGTCCTTATTAAGCTTATTGCAGATTCTGAACCTGTACTAAAAATGTATATACAACAAAATGAAAAGAGAAAAAGGGATTAAAAACGAAATTATATTCAAATATATTATCATAAAATAACATAAATATTCTCATTGAAATCATGAAAAATATGGTTATAAAAAAATTCAAAATGAGATTATATTTAACAGGTGTTTTTCAGTCATAGTTGATGGCACATATGATGTTTCGAAATCAGAAGCAATAGCTTTGATAGTAAATTATGTTGAAAATAGTGAGACGCCGAAGCCTGTTGAAAGACTGATTGACATATATTGTACTGGAAATACCACAGGTCTCGATATTAAGCATAATATAATATTCAAACTTGGCTCGATGAATTTACCCCTTGAATTTCTAGTTGGGCAAAGTTATGATGGCGCCTCAAACATGAGTGGAAGAATCAATGGTGTGCAGGCCTTGATTAGAGCAGAGGCGCCAAAGGCAGCTTTTATTTGGTGTTATTGTCATCAATTAAATTTAATCATTGTTCAATTATGCCAATCAATTAAAGAACTTCGAAATGTTCTATCAATACTAGATGAGATTTATATCTATTTTAATGGTGTAAAAAGATATGAGGTACTCAAAAAATGTCAGTGTAATGATCTAACGATTTCTACGCATCAAGAATACCACTTGGTAATAGTATCTTATTTATTTAGATTTAAAATGTTTTGTTTATTTAGAAGCTGGCTATCGTCATATAAAGCTATAGTAAAATTTTTTCTACTTTATGATTGAGGGCAGCTTTAACAAATTTAAAGGATTCTGAAGATCCTGCCACTTCCACTATCAGTAGCCCCTACATTTTTTGAGCGAATGAAACAGAATACCCCCATGAAAAGTATCCCCCTACCCTTCGAAAAAATGATAATTATGACACCCATAAATTTCAAAAATAATTTTTATTGCATCAATTTTTAATATATAATATAAATAAAATGCAAAAAATATAACTTTATAAATATTATTTTTAAATTAATAATTTAGATAAATTAGGGGAAGAGAAAGCGAAAGAATTTATAATTTCATCAATATTTAATTGTTTAAATAAAAAAATTTCCATTGATAATATGGTTAAATTATTGAGAAAAGAATCTTTCATGGTACTGCGCAGTCTTGTTTTAATTAATTTAATTTTACTCATAACTCTTTCGGCAGTACATGAGGTTGTGGGAATGGTTAATAAATATTTATATAAAATTCATAAATTAGGGAAAGCAGAAAAATTTAAAAGTAAACGATAAGGTAAAATAAATGAATAGTTTTTCCAATCTGAATAGTAAGTCCCTGAATTATCATCATCGTCAGAAAAAGCTAAATAATGTATTGATAAAAATGTTTTAATTAAATAAATTTACAATTCTCAGAATCTAACAAATCTTTAGATTCTTGAACCTCTAGGTCATGAGTAATAATTACATTCCCCATTTTGGCCATCTTATAAATATTTCTAAACTTCAACATTTCTTCGAAAATTTGACTTAAATTTAAATTGTAAAATTCACAGATATCCTCGATATCTTCTTTAATAATTGATTTTTCTGACATTCCCTTTGGCGTAAAAAATGATGTTTGATGTAAAAATTTCATGGAATCATCATTAAATCTTTCGTTAAACTACATAATAATTAAATCGAGTGCAGCATAAAACACACCTATTTTAAAGCTAAAAAAAATTTCTATATATAATGATGAAAGTATATATACCTCTCCTTTTTGGATTGTAATGTTTGAAGTCTAGAACTTTCAAAATCAAAATGTAGATTTCTCTCCTTCATAAAATCTTGCGCCTTTGAAAAAACATCCAAAAATTCAATGTTATTATCTATTAGATTAAAAAATAATTAAGACAGTAATTTATATTATACTTCTCAAATTAATCAAGCAATCTTTTGTCAATTGAATTTGATTTATTGCATACCCTATATCCTTCGAAATGGTTTGCAATTTTGTACAAGCCAAACTTGTTATCAACAATATTTTATCCAAAACACAAAGTGATAAGATTCAAATTTTTCTATTCTAAAGACTATAGCACTAGCCATAGTGGAAGTGGCAGGATCTTCAGAATCCTTTAAATTTGTTAAAGCTGCCCTCAAGGCATTATAAAGTTGAAAAAAATTTACAATAGATTTATATGACGATAGCCAGCTTCTAAATAAAAAAACATTTAAAATTTAAATAAATAAGGAACTATTACCGAGTGGTATTCTTGACGCGTAGAAATCGTTGCGATTTTTTCAGATCATTACACTGAAATTTTTTGAGTACCTCATATCTTTTTACACCATTAAAATAGACATAAATCTCATCTAGTATTCCTAGAACATTTCGAAGTTTTTTAATTGATTGGCATAATTGAACAACGATTAAATTTAATCGATGACAATAACACCAAATAAAAGCTGCCTTTGGTGCCTCTGCTCTAATCAAGGCTTGCATACCATTGATTCTTCCACTCATGTTTGAGGCGCCATCATAACTTTGCCCAACTAGATATTCATGGGGTAAATTCATCGAGCCAAGTTTGGATATTATATTATGCTTTATATCGAGACCTGTGGTATTTCCCGTACAATATATGTCAATCAGTCTTTCAACAGGCTTCAGCGTCTCACTATTTTCAACATATCTTACTATCAAAGCTATTGCTTCTGATTTCGAAACATCGTATGTGCCATCAACTATAATTGAAAAGCACCTGTTAAATGTAATCTCATTTTGAATTTTTTTTATAACCATATTTTTCATGGTTTCAATGAGAATGTTTATGTTATTATATGATAATAGGTTTGAATATAATTTAATTTTTAATCCCTTATTTTTTGTATCCTTTTTTCTTTCTTCATTTTGCTGTATATACATTTTATGTATAGGTTCAGAATCTGCAATAAGCTTAATAAGGGCCATCATATTGCCTTCTTGTTGCCTGTTCCCCCAGAAGGCTTGGTTACTAGATATTAAATAATCTAAACATCTTATTATAATTCTTATAATAGAACGGTTATTATCTACACATTCTTTCTGAGGTGTTATAAATTTTAATATCGAATTTTTATTATGAGAAAGCCTTCCATAATCGGCCATCATATGTGCCTGTGAAGATTCATGCAGAATAATATCACGATTAATATTTTGCCATTTATCTAGACCTTCACATGTCCATTTTGAATTTGCTTGTGGACCACCAAATAAGAGACATGTTAAGCAAAAAAACTTTATACATTTTAATACTATAAGTAATCCAATTTCTAGGAATTTTGCTATTGTCAATATTGGTTAATATTTTTAGGCATATTTTAAAATTGGAAAAATAATTTATGACAAGAAATTTCGGATAACAAATTTACTAAACATCAACCAAAATTTCCGTCAATATATTAAATTAAATATTAAATGGGGGGGGGGGTCTTATTGTTACATTTATAAACCAGAAATTACATGATCATGATGGATGTAAAAAAAAAAGTATCCCACTCAAATTTACTGAAGCAGTTGCTTCAGAACCCCTTCCCCCCCCCTCTGTTGTAGGGGCCCCTGTCCACTATGGCTAGTGCTATAGTCTTTAGAATAGAAAAATTTGATTTTATCTCATCACTTTGTGTTTTGGATAAAATATTGTTGATAACAAGTTTGGCTTGTACAAAATTGCAAACCATTTTGAAGGATATAGGGTTTGCAATAAATCAAATTCAATTGGCAAAAGATTGCTTGATTAATTTGAGAAGTATAATATAAATTATTGTCTTAATTATTCTTAATCTAATAACACTGAATTTTTGGATGTTTTTTCAAAGGCACAAGATTTTATGAAGGAGAAAAATCTACCTTTTGATTTTGAAAATTCTAGACTTCAAAGATAACAATCCAAAAAGGAGAGGTATATATACTTTCTTCATTAAATGTAGAAATTTTTTAGCTTTAAAATAGGTGTGTTTTATGCTGCACTCGATTTAATTATTATGCAGTTTAACGAAAGATTTAATGATGATTCAACGAAATTTTTACATCAAACATCATTTTTAACGCCAAAGGAAATGGCAGAAAAATCAATTTTTAAAAAGATATCGAGGATATCTGTGAATTTTACAATTTAAATTCAAGTCAAATTTTCGAAGAAATGTTGAAGTTTAGAAATATTTATAAGATGGCTAAAATGGGGAATGTAATTATTACTCTTTTCAAGGGGGTACTTTTCAGAGGGGTATTCTGCTTCATTCGCTCAGAAAGTTTAGAGGCCACTTATAACATACTTTGATATAAATTGTCGATATAGAAATTACAATAGTTTAATCATCTTGTAATTAATATAATATAATTGATTTTTTATATTTATGATATAGCTATTACATATTGTAATATTATATACATATTTAATATAATTAATATAGTATAATTTATATTATATATTTATAATATTATTTACATATTTTATATATCTATTATATTATTTGTATATTTTAATAAATCTGACTTTTTGGCAAAAAAATTATCTAGCATGGGATTAAAGCTTATAAAAAGGTATGTTGAATTGATACATTAATGGGTTTTTTTTTTAAATCAAGAATTTTAATAAAATAATTTTGAAAATATGAATATAAATAACATATATGTTTTGTATATCAAGCTCCGTAATCGAAAAGTATACGACTGGCGATAACCCCCTTTTAAGTCGAGTTTACATGTCCTTTTCAAGACCACAATTAATCGAGTTCTCACGTGAAAGTAAATAAATTGAATTATCTATTTGATTTATGAATTTCACAAAAAAAATTAAAATATTAAGAACGAGACAGTCTTAGCGATGTGTAATTTACGGCATCCTTTTGGAATAAATAAATTCATAGATATAACAATTTATCCCTTCCCGATTTAAAATCGTGGGTTCTTCATTATATCATTTCAACATCTTTGACCTAAAATCTTCAAACTGGTTTATTTCTCCTTCGTCCCCATAATCTCCCCCACTGCACATCTATTCTCATTCTGCTCAACAACCTTTCTCGATCTAACCTACATTTTTGACATTTTCAGCCATAACTGCACATTCTGCACGCTTTTCAATACCGATTTTACGTTCAGCTATTGTCCAGTCTAAGACCTTCATAAATCATATTTTCTTAACGGGGGTTTTTTTTAAATTTCTCACCTTGTCGCAGGGCTGCATTCGTATCATCATATATTTTAATAATGTCTTTTTGATCAAATTTCTGACATTTACCTCTATACTCCTCAACATTTGATACATTTCACTTATTTAATTGGTTATGAAGTACGAGTATTTGAATATATTATAATTTCAACTTGTGACATATAAATTGGCAGGTATGTTTATTAGAAAGAATTTTAAAGAAGAAAAAAATGAAGGAGATATTTTAAAAAATATACAAATTTTATATTTATTTTTGTTTTATGTCAGCGAGCTCGGAATCAACGACTACCAATCATGTTCAAGGCGATATATCAGAAATACTTAAAAATATAGCACTCTATTCTAACAATTTTGGTGAGTATATCCATCCATATTTTTTATTAAATCGAACTACAACTACGTTAATTCCATTATTAATCTATTTTTTATGTTTAGACATAGACAATGCTCCCAAATATATTCAAGATAACCTAATCGCTTCCGCGAATGATTTGGTGCCCAGAATTTTAAACAAAACCGCCATAATCTATTTGAGCGGCGATGCCAAGGGATTTAGCCCTAGTATCAGGAAATGTTTCTCTCGAATGCTTAAAGATTATCCAGACCTCGGTAATTTATTGATTAATCACACATATCGTGGCCTGAGAATTAGACTATTTATTTCTTAAAAATGACTTTTTTAAATAAATCAATTTTTTATAATAATACTATTATTCTATATACACAAAAAAAAATTAGAAATATATAAAATAAGTTAAATTATGATCAATATAATGTTAAATATTCTATTAAAAACAATAGACTTAATTTTTAAAATTGATATCCTGTAAAATTACAAAAAGTAACGATATAATAGTCTAAATCTCATTTTTTTAGTGGATTTGCAACCACATTTTTTTTAAAAAAAAAACTAAGGCACCAGTAATTTAAAACTCTGCAAATTTAAGGGTTCCAAGATTTAAAACATTAAAAATAAGCTAGTTAATTTTTATAAATTTATCTTGGAATAACCTGTATTTCATGTAAAAAAAAAGAAACATATTATATGTGACATTTTTGCACTTTCGGCAATCTATTTTACCTTTAAAGTTTTTATTTAATAGATATTATATTATAATTCTGCCATATTTTTTATTTCCATAATTCGACACAATTTAACAAACGAGATAATAAGGAAATATACATTTTTGTACTATCATGTTTATAAATTGAAATTTTTTATTAAAATGAAGAATTCCCATGTTTTTTAATTTTTTGATTGTGTTTTAATATATCTTTTTATAAACGATTATTATAAACGTCTATACAAAATAATCGTTCACTGGAAGCTGATTTAACTGGAACCTACAAAGTTTTTCTTACTAACTTTATTAAGATATTTTTGAAAAATTCTAATGGTTTATTCAAGAAAAATAAATATTAGGGTTGGAGACTCCTAGGGTAGGCCTCCGTTAGAAAATGCTATTATTTAGTTTTCAAATACTTTTCCTAAAATAATTAAATTTAAAAGTAATATTCTAGTTATTAAATTAAAAGATTTTCTTCCTAAAAAACAATATGAAAAATTAAATTTTCAGTGTTAATCGTAATATTTCTATTCACGCACGATGATTTTTTTAGAAAGGTCCATTACGCCCAAACGCGATTCAAAATTCATGCACCCATTATAATTAAAAAAGGAAATGTTTTAAATGATCATGTTGAAACCAGAGGTGAGGACATGAAGTGCGTGATGGCTACAAATTTCGGGAGAGATAACGGGACGTCGAAATTTGATGACGAACACACTATTCAAAAAAGATGAATTGAAAAGCTAGTGATATATTAATCGCTGAAAAGATTGGTCACAAAAAACCGGTATATCGACAAAGATTAGCAAAATGTTATGAAATATTTAAAAAAAATAATGCCGGTATAATATTTTAATAGATAGAGTTGGGCCTAAAAATGTCTGACAAAATTGTGTGAATAGTTTACTTAAATTGCGATATACGTGACGAATGGTTTTTTAGCGATAGGATATGGTTACCAATTTTGTTTTGGATCAAACTCAGTTTATTTTTAATATAACTTTCCGTGTCTCACGCAGCGCGTGAGGCTTTCAATTTTTTTAAACGCCTTACTTATTTTATTAAAATAATAATGTCTGCATTTTTTTAAATGTAAACTTATTTTCGGTGGGGGGGGGGGGGGTTCCTTGTCTTGACATGAATTCCCCCCCCCCATCAAATTGGGTTCGAAATTCTAACTTGTCACGCATCATTTATGTTAGTGATAATGCACGCCTCGGATTTTTTTTCAACCTAAGCTTATCGTCATTTTTAAAGTAAGTCTGAAAAAAAAATGAATCGATACATATTTTAGACGTGTTGGGCATGTTTTTTCATCTATCCATCTCCTAAAACCCCATTGGGGGAAGTAGCTTTCATCAAAGATGATTAAATTAAATGTAGCTAGAAGACAACATATATATATTTGACAATTAAATCTGTTTTTATCACATACATTATAATTTCCATTTTCACCAAAAATAAATAAAATTTTCTTTTTATTTTATTATAAATATCCTAAAAGTTTAAAAATTTATTTATTGTACTTTTGTACTTTAAAGAAAAATTTAGCTACAAAAGATTTAAAATTTGTTTTCTCTTAAATATATTTATTTTATGTTACCATCTCAAATTTCCGGAAAAGAAAAGAGAATTCCTTCTTTTTTAACTTTCTTTCTTTCCTTGGTGAGTTTTAAACTTTAACCTTTCAGTGAGCGTTTTAGATTATTACTAAGAATTCTAATAAGTAGTCCGCGGACCTGCTCGTGTTAATTTAATAGATTTTTTTTCGGATCCTATATACTCCATTTTTAAAAAAATATATTTACATGGAAACTAGCTCTTAAATAAGAAAATTAGAATAATATTTTCCCTTCAAATTAAGAAAGAAAGAGAGAAAGCTTTACATGGAACATTGCAAAAATTTGTTAAACTTTATCAGTTTATGGTTCTTTGGTAAGGAGATTTTAAGTAAAAATTTTCTAAAAAGTGATACTTTGTTTATCAAACCCCCACACGTTTGCTGCTATCAAGTATATTTTAATCGAATATTTTCATTTTTTATTTTACTATATTTCATGCTATTTTTTATGATGCATTTGCATGGTATATAATATTATTTCTAAACTTTTAAAAAAAATTATTTTATTTTTCCCATTTTTCAAAATTTTTAATCAATTCATCGTTTATTTTCAGATTGGACACCGTTGGAATGCGATAAATATGTCAAGATGATGCAAGAAGAGAAAAGATTTTTGGAGGATACCTGGCTTTAGATCTGCTCTTCGAATAATTCAAAGGATGAGATTTACTATAAATGCGAACTAATTTAATTTTTTGTAATTATCAACACAATTGTTAAAAACAGTTCGATTTAAAGATGACGATTGTAACAATTTCTTCATTCAAATTTTTTTTATACATAATAAAATGTATTAAATTAATAAGGTTTTGGGCCATCTAAACATTTTACTACCAAGACAATGTTTAAATAAAATATAAGAAAATTTATGTATTCTGTTGAATGCCTTGTTATGTTATGAAGTAATTTATTTTGCTTGGCATGATACCGAAATAATAACTCGATAATTAATTTTTATGAATAGATAATATGGGAAAATTTTTTGTTTGAAAAAAAAACACAACATTTTTAATATTATCATTATTTTATGGGAAAGAAATTATCACTGTAAATTATCAAGTTAAAGGGTAAATTTTGTTTTTCTTTTATCTTAAGTCTATAACCTCTAAAAACAAATCGATTTATTTGAATATTTGCAAATATTTTCGCACGAATTAGTTGATATTAATTCTTTTTTTTAAAAAAAATATATAATTCGTATTTCTTGGTATAGTGTTGTTAAACGGCTCATTTTGAGCAAATTTTATAAAACGGCTAACTCAATATTTTAGCCAGAAAAATATTATCTGAATCTCGAGATTTCGATAATATATGTCTTGTTCCTTCTGTGAGCAAAATCTTCAGGCTTGCGTAATATTTTTCTGGATAAAATATTGAGTTAGCCGTTTTTAAAAATCGGCTCAAAACGCGCCGTTTAACAACACTACTTGGTAAGATAATTGTAATATATAGAAGAGATCTGCAAAAGTAGGCCCTAATTATTTTTATATAAATTCAGGCCGGGCCGGCATAAATTTTTTTAAAAAGGGTCGGACTTGAAAAATTAGGACCGATGCAGATCAGAAATATATGGCTCTTCTAAAGTTACAAATAACCAGAAAAATAAAATTTAAATATTTTTTCCCCCATTTAAAAATAATTTTGAAATAAGTGCCCATGATATGAAATATAGGATGACCGAAGGTATATTAGATATATAGGTTAGTATTTCACCTCGTTTAGCTACGATTAGTATATATTTAAGAAATAATGTCTTTTCCACAAAAATATCACTATTTATAAATTTCAAAAAAAAATACATTTCACGAACTAAAACTTGCAGAAGACAAATTTTGTCGACTTATCCAAATCTATTAGGAGAAAAACATTTTCCAGACCCAATCCGAACATAAAATAAATCTCATATTCCCAAACTCGACTCTTACATCAAAATATAAAAATAATATCAATTTTTTATTCATTTAAGTATTTTATGTATATAAGAAATATACTAAAAATGAAACAAAATTATAAAAATTAATACAATCAAAATCAAACATGATTTATTTTATATTACTAATTAACAAGATTGCAACAAAAATATTCATAAATCCAACCCAACTTATGCCAGAAAAATAATCTATTCATTATTAGCCCAAATACAGTCCAGCTAAATCAATGTAGATTAAATTAAGATGATCTTTATATTCAGTTTCAGATACCGGCGAAACTAATTACGTCTTGTAAATAAAAATGTTTGGAGCCAAATTTATTTTATCATAAAAGACGCCGCTATTTGATTTGTCGTTTTTATATATAGGGGATAAATTTACGTGGCAGCCATCGAAATATCACCCTATTGACAAATTATTATTTTTTTGTAATTATGTATGTTACCTGCAAGGCAATGAACGTAAATATGTATTTATGTGTAATATCTTATTGTTTTAAATTTATAAATCAGATTTTTTTTTTCTGAATTTAAAAAAACTTAATAAATGATGTAAAAATTGGAAAATAGTAATATAATTTGTTAAGCTAGTTTTTAAATATGATTTTGCCTAAAAGGATGTGATTTGTTATTGTGCTTCAATTTTACAAAACTAAATAACTGAGTTTGATATCCGTTTATACCAAATCGATTCGATCATAATCGCGACTTACTTTTAATTTACTTGCCGGTCAGCAACATAATACACAATTTTACATGATTTCATTTTAAACACATTAATGAAACATTTAAAGTTGTTTTATGCCATAACGAAGTGGCTTACTATTTTGGCTATAATTTGATTTGATCTGAGTTTAAATTAGAGATTAAAGTTGGACCTAAAATAAAGCACATCAGATAATTGATTTTGATCTTTTCTATAATATTTTTTTTAATCTTATTTTAATTAATGTATTAAATGAAAAATTAAATTAGGAATGATAAGAATCTCTCTTTAAAATATATAAGCCTTACAAATTATTATTTCGCAATTATGGATAACAGGTGTGTTTGATATAAATTAATAGATTTATTGATTAAGTTTTTATTTTTTTTTACATAAAAATATGAGTGAATATTTGTTGCATTCATTAAAAAATATATATAAATCAAAGTTAAATATTTGTTTTAGTAAATTATACATGAATTGTATTGTATACACAACAAAAGTTAAATTGAATACAATATAATATAACGTTTCTTTTTTTACTTATGTCAAATGCTAAATATAAAAAGTTTTATTTGCAAGAAGTTGACCAAATATTATTACTTTACAATTATTTATTTTCGTGTCCTCAATTACTTCAGGACTTGTTATAACACATCTTTATTCTATATAATTTACTTCGTAAATTAGATTTTTTTAAATAATAAATTAAACCCTTTACTTTTATTAACTGTGAGGTGGCACCCCGAAATCATAATCTTTCATTCTTTCTAGGCCTACAAAAAATGGAAGAATGTTTTAAAAAAAATCATTTTATTATTTAAATAATATAGCCAAATTATTAGAAAAGTTTAAATATGGGAGTTGTTATGCTACCTTATAATTACCAAGAATTATTTTTATGATGACACTTTTTCAAGATGAACTGAATCAGGGTTTTACCGATACATTGTCATTTTATCATATCCTTAAATTTTAATGATTCCTTTTTGTTTTTAATAATAGAAAAATTAAAATCTTAGAAACAACTCCACTATAAATGAATATTTTATTGAAAAATTTAGTACAAATCGAAACATTTTATGATCTCATTAAAATATAAGGAAATTAAAGTAACTCTCCTCTTATTATTTACTTACCTACTTCATAATACTTACAATCCTCTCTAAAAGTTCGATGAGATTATTTTTATTTTATGTACTTACGCACTCGCTTGTTACCTGCAATTATAATATGGCGATAAAAATTATTTTCTTATGAAGAATAAATACCTTTTTTTATATTTGTTGTAATTCAAGTTTTAACACGTTATATTTATAATCAAATTTTCAATCTCATCGATAATTATATTTTTTTAAAGAATTCAAGATGGCATTTTTAAACAATTTAAAGTTTATCCAATAAATATTTATCCTTTTATATTAAAAAACAAGAAAGAAGATCCATTTTAAAAAAATACATTTTTTTAAAAAAAATATATTAAGTGAGCTTCAAGACTAATATTCATATATTTTACATTTCCATAATTTTAATTTTAAGTATAACTTCAGGTAATAAATATAATTTAAAAAATGTACACCTTAATCTTCCAATTGATGGTATTATACAAAAGTAAACTACAAAACTCATAGTATGAAAAAAATAAAATATTTATATATTTTATTGTCATTTTCATTTATTAATATTTTATGGTTATTAATTATAATAAATAAAATATTTTATCAAAAGAAATTAGTGAAAATTTATATATTTTTTTTAAGGTGCGTAATTGTTATAAAAACGGTTATATTTTAGAAGTAAGTTTTTTTATAATGAAAATTTACTTTTATAATAGAAAAAAAAAATGGGGGAAAGTAATTATGGAACACTGGGAAAATAAAAACTTTTGTTCACACGTTTTTAATATAAAAAAAATAAATATTTTTGTTGAAATTTTAAATAAAATAATTCGTGAAGTGGTTATTTATAAAAAATATAATACCTTTTACTATATCATATAATTATTTATGTATTATAAAAAAAAAAATAATATTTATATAATAATTTTTAAAAGTTGTAACTTGTTTTAAAAATAAACTAAATATTTTCAGCATTCCGAAATTTAAAAAATTCTTTTTCAAAGTCAATAATATAATTTCCAATTTTTTAAATAAGTTAAAGCTACTTTATTTTTTTTAAAATGAGAAATATCATAGTGTATACGCTAAGCAAATTAAATATATTCAATCGCTACGCCTACCAAAAATGGATACATTTCTCTAACATTTTACTATTGATTGCGGTCTCGATTTTCTATCTTTTCGCTTCGCATATAGCCAAGGACCCCAGTTTTATATTGCTTCCTTTCTCGTGGAAGGAAGACCCATCCTTGATTTATGGGTGCATAGTTTTGATCATACAAGCTGGGCCTATCCAAATGTTGGGATTGGTTTCAGTGTTTTTAGCACCGACTTCATCCTCTTTATTAGAAAACTCATCAGAGAATAGCATCGCTAGAAGAAGATCTTTCAATGGAAATGGATCGATGACTTCTAATGACTCGAATAAGTCACTTAAGCAAAGGCAAAAGTCTATAGTCAGGTGTCTTAAACTGTACTGCATATTGCTGGGAATACTTTTGATAAGCGATATTGTGATCGGATTGGTGTGGGTTTTCAGATTTCACTGTCTCTTTAGGTATCAATCACTGACCTCATCAAAAGTTAATATTCATTATTCAAATATCAAGGCAGATCCTCATAATATATCAGACCAAAAATGGAATATATTATCGTCCGTAACATATTTTTACTTCACTACTACCGCTTCATATATATTCATTCCTTGGATCCAAGCAATAAAACACAATTTCGAAAACAGATATGGGTTAGATCCGACATATACAAAATCCTGGAATTCTCTACAAATGCAAAACGAATGTTGTGGCTTTTATAGACCCCTAGACTTTGTAAATACATATTGGTTCAGAGATTCTTTTAGAGGTAAAAGTTTGTCTAATATAGAAAGACTTAAAAATAACAACGGCTACGATCTTCAAAATAAAACTAACAGCAGACACCACAATCATATGTTATATGGAAATTTAGTACCCTTCAGTTGTTGCAAGACCCCGATAATGTCAAATAGTGGAATTGCGACCAAAAATTTTGATTCTACATCGATTAAAAGAAGCTTTTACGGTATATGCAATCCTTATGATTACGAAGACTCTTCAATAAATAAAAAGGGTTGCGGCCATGATCTTAGACAATGGATGTCTTCTTCGGCCGATAATTTGTTCATTATAGGCTATTGTTTTCTGTCGCTAATGAAAGCCATATTTTTAGCCATCTTGTGGAAAGAAATCGATTGGTTCAAGTCGGGTTACAAATCTCGCTTTTGTTATAACGATGACGAAGATGATGACATTACGCCTCCGTTGATCGAAACTGATCCTGCGAACGAACATCAACACACACTAAGCGATAAAAATAATTTGTGTGGTTCTTCTGCTCAGTCGTATTCTTCAAATATCTTGAGTTGGATATTTAAAAATCCCTTGATCAAACTATGTTTACCCATAGGGTGTAATCGCTTGTTTACTAAGAAAGACGAACAAGGAAAGGGTAAACCTTATATGGAATATACCAAACGAGATAGGTATACCTCGGCCACCAATAACAGAACTAACGAATGTGAAACTGTTTTCATCTGCGAGAAGCAAGGAACGGTTCCTGGGCAGGTTTGCTATGCAGAAACTAGGCAACAACCTCATATTATCAGAAAATCTAAAAACTTCTCAAATGCCAGTGCCGTTAATCAATCAAAAGCAATCCCTGATAATAATAGCTCATACCTGATACCTGATAATCGAGAACATACCTACAAAAGCATCAAATTTCAAAACTCTTTTAATAATCCCCACAATCCTTATCAGATACCTAAATACGGACCATCTAATCATTTATTGCCTATGACAAATCAGCGTTTAAAAGTCAATCAAACTACTAAAACAATCCACCAAAAAGTAAAAAATGGTAACGGATATAAATTGTATAATTATAAATGTGACAATATCGAAAATGAGTATCTAGAAGGAGAATGTGTAGATAAGAGTAACAGTCCTAGGCGAGAGGCAGAAGGATGCCTGGATACCGCAATCTATAATTCTAACACTCATTTGGACAAGACACATTTATCAAATTGCGGTGATAACAAACATGACACGTACTCTACAAAGGCAAAAATTCCAGATCGATTAAATACAACTTTACCTGTATGTCCCCCTGGATATTCTATGATTGAAAGCGATTATGGCTCTCACCACTACGTTCCTATTCCACTACCTTCCCAATATTTACAACCCTCATCTCATTATATGATGTATCCGCCAATGTTTATTCCACCATCAAACCCTCATATGATTTTAAATTCTACCCTTCCAACTGGGTTCCCATATTATAACCCTTATCATACACCATATATGTATATCAACCAACATAATATACCAAATGATAACTCATAGAAATATATTTATAGGCTATGAATTTGCCATGTTTAAAATTTTAATATATTACTATTATACTATAAAATAATAAATTATTAGAATCCTTAAAAAAAAATTTTTTGTTATATAAGAACGTGATTTTGTTAAATTAAGGTTAATGCCATATTGTATGTTTTAAGAAAAGGGGAAGTTAAATTTTTTCTATGATTAATACTAAAAGTTTTTTTAAAAAATATGCAATGTTTTATGACACTAATCAGGTTTTATATAATTATCAAGAATTAATTATAACTTTTTCTGTATATATAAAAAAAAATAAGCTATCAGGATAAGATAACCCTTAGAAATTATCTTTTATTATAAATAAAATTAAAAAATTTTTTTATCTAAAACTTAAAATTTGTATTCATTTTGTTCCTCTTTATTGGTTCTTATTATAGGATTTAATTTATTAAAAAATTATATATTTTATACTTTTTTATATAAATGATATTCGGGGAGGGTGACAAATACTCGGGGAAAGTTGAGCTTAAACATAGGGTTATATAAAATTTGTGATAAAAGATGAACAAGCTTGCGGAATAAAAGAGTTCGAATATAAAAATTTAAAGGGGTAGACAATGTCACTTAGGATTTATTTAGGAGTAGTCTCCTAACTATAATAGAGATTTTGGTATGCGATGATTAAAGCTAGTATACGCAATTATTTATTATCTTATCTTAATCCCAATGATTAAAAACATATATCGCAAAATTCCAAATCCTTATATGACCCCTCCTATAAATTAAATACATTTGTCAAACTAGTGATTATGACAGATTAAGCTAAGTAGCAAATCTAAAAATAACGTAGAAAAGAAATTCAAGCCTCAATTTGGCCCTAAAGTTATATAAAAATTATATTTTGAGGATTATTTGAGAGCATTCCTGATTAAGATTTTAATTTATTTAGAACATTGAAAAAAATTTGAAAAAAAATTACATTATTTTTTTTCAATTTGTTGGGATATGTTGCTTTATAGGTCTCATTTTCCTGTCATCCCTTAGCAAATTATCCAGGTTTGCTAAATTTATACTTGTTCTTTAGGTTATTATTCTTACTAAAACAGCAATCGATTGAAAATCTTAACATGAAAATTGTATATAAAATATTAAAGAAAATGATATTTGAATCAAAACAAGACTGTCATGAGCGAAATATTAGTTAATGAATGACAATGAATTTAAAAAATATTATAAAATTAATATTATAGATTCATTTTATTATTATATATAAAATAAAGTTAATGTCTTAAAAAACATTAATTTATATTTGACCATATTATTGGTCAAATACACAACCCTGGCTTCATGTATAAATTGATAACTCTCACTATTATAACCCTAGCCTAGCTTCTCAAAATGCCCCTACCCCCTCCCTTCCATTTATAAACGCTGTATATAAATTTTAGAAAAAATTATAAAATATCTTAAATAAAAAAAAGTACATATTTAAAATAAAATAATATCCTTTGATAAATTATTTTAGATAGTGTATTTCATACTTATTAAATTATTATAATAGATGCAAAAAGTAAAAATCATTAAATATTATATACACATCTAATATACATAATCTTCATAAATAAATGAACGTTTTGGTATCATCTTAACGCATTAAAATTTGACTATATAATGTAATGTTTTGCCATCTACCAGTATCGAACACGGAACATCCATTTCAAAAGCATATGTTTAAGGTTTAAGCTACTATGCGGATTGTGATTAGACATAAAAAATTTATATACTATTTTACTTTTCTAGGAATTTTTTTTAATTATATAATAATATTACACAAAAAACTCTCATATAACAGGATTACATTTTTTTATTGTGCACATAAATACAATTTGTGAGAAAATATAAAACCCTTCAAGCTAGCAGAATTAATTTATTAAGGCCTTAAACAAATATAAATGTTGAAAATATTTTTAATTGGGCACTAAGACAAATTAGAAATTATGTAATCTAGATTACAAATATGATCCAATTACAAGTATAGTAAAAGATAATAAATATATACTTCACCAACATATATATAAATAATAGAACATCTCAAAATAACCTTAGATCAAAATAAAATTAGGTTTCTTAAAGTTGATTTCTGGCATCCATAATATAAAGGACTAAATTTTGACCTATTGTCAAATAAAAGATAAATGTGATTCCCCGTCGATTTAAATCTTTTAGAATTTATTTATTTTATGTTCAATATTTGAAATATCTCTAATTATTTTTAAATCAAGTGTTTTATATTTTATGTTTTAAATTATATATTTAAAAAGTTTAAAATATTGGGCCGATTCGATATATTGGATGAGAATTAATTTATTATGTAACATTTAAAATTATATACTTTTTTGATATAATACAATTGTATTTTATTTAATATATATATATAAAATGCTGTTATAATAAAAGTTTTATAGCACTGAGCCTATATTCTATGAGTAGATAACATAAATACTAATTTTAATATAAAACAATATTCGTATATTGATCATTATAATATCCTATAATGCAAATCATGCTATATGGTATAAAAATTAATTGATTATGCAATCTATGAACTATATTTATTTAGTGTAAATAAAGATGTTTTAATAATATAAAATTTGAGCATATATTTTGTGAGTGGATGATATAAATTCTAATTTTAATAAAAAATATGTATATTGAACATTAATATCCTATAATGCAAATCATATATATATAAATTAAAATAACGCTGAATAATTTTAAATGGGAGATATATTATATGAAATGTTAATAAAATTAACAATCCAACCATTTTGTTGAAATGTATAATGAAAAATTATTGGTATAAAAATGAGATTAAGAAAAATAAAAAATGCTATAAGTATTTAACATTATAATTCATAATATATAAAACTATACATAAGTACTAATAGCATCATCCGGGTAGGGTTTAACATATTGCCATATTTTTCAAGCAAAGTACATTTTTTGTGATGTACTAGCCTGAATGGTGATAGCAGCATTAAGTTTCTCTAAATTAAGAGTTGGGGTGGAATCACTAGCATGAGTGGAAGATGAGGCGGTGTCACTAAATATGTTTATAAATAAATATATTATTTACTAGAATTGTAAAAAAATGAAATTTCGTCTTTTTAAAAAATTTATTTTTAAAGTTTTTTTTAAATTATCGAAAATCCGTCAAGATACTATTAGTTTTAATCTTTTTGTTATTTTTTATATTTACCTCATGATCATATCTCCAATATGGTGTCTAGCACGGAAAGCCACGTGATGTGCGTAGTAAGCAGGAGCTGGTATGCTAACAGCTCGGTTGCAGCGCACATATGTATGGCATAATGCATAAGTCAGACTTTGGAAATCATCTGCATTAAAATTATTGTCATCCCATAAGACGTGATAATGAGTTGGGCGAGATGTGCCCTGTATCCCAGCATGGCTACATAAAAAGAAATCGTTTTCTCGTGGATGCACTATCCCTTTATCTACTATTGTTCCTGGTGGTATGTTTCCACTTTTACCGCACTTAAAATATGTTTATAATAATATTGATTAATATTTTTTAAAAATTCTAGATGAACCCATGAAATGAAACAAATGTAATTAATAATACCTCTTATCCTGCTAAAGTAAACTTTTATATCACATAAAACAACTTATTTAATAAAAGATAAAATTATCGAATCCCATATAAACAATTAAAGTTATGGCGTGAAAAAAAGGGCCAAAGTGATTATCGATTTAAAAAGATTTAATGGAATAAATACTCAATAGTGATTGTTGCAGCCACAAGAGGAACCCTTACCCTTTTATGCAATGTATTTCAAACTAAAACCTGATAAATTCTCATAATTGATCTATGCAGTATTTCAACTGCTCAGAAAACAACTAAGCGGCCACTTATAAAATCACTCTTAAAACAAAGTAGAAATATCCTAGATATCTTTTATTACTCACTGAAACACCGAAAATGAATGTGGATAATATACACAAATAATTCACGATAGAAAAAGTGAATGGCAAAATGTGTCAAAGGCTAATAAGATCTATGTCAGCTGTAACATCCATGCTGATTTATTTAAAAAAATATAAATTATGCCAATATAATATTTGTCAATATTGTGTTTAATAAATGTAATATCATAAAATTCTATATCGTATTTATATTTTTTCGCCCAATGTATAAATTATCTTATTTTTATACCATTCATGGTCAAAGTTGTAGATATTCAATGATAGATGCCTTTTTTAAAGCGGATTTTTTAAGATCGGAAATGTCTGACAATTAACGGTCTAATATTGATTGGCTTATAAAACAATCAAATAGTTATAAAGTGGTAAGAGCTCAAAATAGCGAAGATGAAGAGATCACTTTTCTCGGATACCAATTCAATTACGCATGCTAAATGATGGAACTAGCAAGGCCAATGTTATAAATAAATCTGGACAAAGTATATATCTAAGCTGCTTAAACTCACGGAGGAATACATTAAACAAATATATTATAAACATAGGTAATTAAAAACCTCATCTCTTTGATTAGCACAAAATAATCTGGTATGATGCCTTTTTTGTACAACCGCAAAAGTTATCAGGGGTTGATAATCTTTTTCCAACATCGAGCAAGCTTTTTGAATTGCACATACTTCGAACTGCAAAACCTTAAAAAGTAGCAAAAATTAAAAATTAGTCATGTGAATAATTTGTTAATATTCAACATGATAAAAATTGTAAAAACAATGGCGAATTTATTTAAAAATCAAAAATAATATATAAAAAATCAATGTAAACCTGGAGAAATTGGCCTTCACTCACACCATCACGGTAAAAAATTATTTTTCTAGGTTTGGCCCCAGTACTTTTGTAAAAACGCTTTAGTAAAATGGTGATCATCTCGCTTAAATTCTCTATAATTTCGACCCTATGACCTTGGGCTTTAACCACTGCAGTATATTTGTGAGGGTAAGAATCCATGCTTGCCACAACCTTAAAGTTTTTTAATTTAAAATGCCTTTTGAGAAACTATTTTTTATAAAATGCAATTGAATAAATAGAATTATTTTATTAAAAAGGGGTTTAATGAGTAAAGTATCTAGCCCAAAACCTGTGTTTAAGGTATATATAAAATAGAAAATGTAAATTACGGCTGATATGGAGGGCATTTTGTTATCCCCTGGGGTGGGGTGCGTAACATCAGCTCCAAAAACTATAACGGGATCCTTGAAGAGTGTAGTCTTGAAAGGAAACTGAACGGCATCATTGATGCCATCGCTTTTGGCGTTGAGCTTGAGGCAGAGGTTGACGTACAGGCTTTGCTTTGGTCTAAAAATGTTCTTGCCCTGTATACATTGTGTAACAACTCCAAAAACAACGTCTCCTAATCGTTTGATTTCACCTATAAATAAAATAATGTCGCAGTAATAGAAAATGAATATATTTATCGATACACAAATCGGGATAATTTATAAATATATCTTTCTCAGTATCAAAACATTTCTGGTGATTTTAATAATTGATTTGTTCTTCAATATCTAAAAATTTGTCCTTGACAAAGCTCATTAAAGAGTCTCTTTTGTTAATAAATTGGTTGAGTTCCTCAAGTGAAAAAGTAAAAAATAATTAAAAAACTTGAGGCAAATAAAAATTATCATATATGCCAAGAGCAAATAGTTTAATTTAGAGCATTAGATTTTCAATGGCATATATTTAAGACATTGACCAACATATAACTTATGACAATTCAAATTTCAATTTTACGCTTAAGTCTTTAAATCAAAGCATATAATCATAATTTATATAAATGTAAACCATAAACTAACCATAAAGTGTACTCCTGCCAGGCAAAATAACCACGATGAGATCCAATTGTGTATTGTTAGTCTGACTTTGCCTGATAATGTGATTGAATACATTTTCAGCTTCGCTTATTTCCCTAGAGTAAATAACATAAATTAAATATTTTTTGTGAAACATAGAGAAAACTCAAATCCATTTATTCACTTATTTATTCAAAAAGAATGATAAGAGAATTTTAACTATCTAATATAGCTGAAGAGTTAACAAATTAAAAAGAAATTTACTTTATTTAAATTAATGCTTAATTTTATTTGTCCTGGGAAAAAATTATTTTGAGCCCAAAGTTAAAACAAAAAAAGTTTGTTGAATATTTGGTAAAAGCATTCATTAAAAGGAAAAAGAGATACCTAACATAGGTGTTGAAGACTGGGGCAGGATTGAACTTCATGCCCATCTCTGTAGCTATTTTAGATAGCTCGGAAAAGAAAGTTTTTAGCATAGGAGGTGCGCACCTATTCTGATTTTCAAAGCACATCAATGCCCAATTAGATATAGTGGATCCTTTGATAAATTTCTCACCATTTCGCATGTCCCATACTCCCTTTTGTGGATTTATACTGGCCATACTAGTCTATCATTTATTAAAAAAATATTAAATAAAAAGTCAATTTGATTTAAATCGGGAATTAAGTCAAAGTATTTTTAAAAAAATTGAAATAATATTTTTTGATTTTGATTTTTTTCTACCATAATAGTTTTCATCTTTATTTTAATGTATTATATGGTCTAGTGCAGATTTAAAATTCTTTTGAATCGACCCAAATTTTAATTTTCGGCCCAGCATGTGTTTTATATTTTCAAGCCCCACCCAGTCGAGATTATTTTTAAAAAAATATATTTTTTATAAACAATAAGGGCGATTTTAAATATTAAACCATGTCTGTTGTTATTTAAAAATAAATATTTAAACATGGCCTGGGTATTTAAAAAAATCATATACCAGGACAGTGCCAGGACTGCAAAGAATAAATAAAATGTTCTGAAATACGCAATTAATGAGATTTCGAAATTTTTAACAATTGCGAACCCAGGTTTCAGAAATCTTTCTAGTTACAAAAAATGTTTTTAATCTTAAAAAGTAGAAAAATGACGTTTTTTTTTATAAATTATGTTATTTTTTAATGCTGTTCAAATTTTTTATAATTTAAAAAAATATAAATAAAAATATAGAAAATTTTAAATATTTTTTTAAAAATTCTTGAACTCTGAACTCTACATTTAAAAAAATTCGTGTTTCATGGTACTGGTTCAATAAAATATCAGAGTTCTGGTTCATGATATAGATTAAATACCCTGACTTTTAATCATTTACTTAGGGGATCTTTAAATTTGATTAGAAAGATATTTCCTATATATTATAACCAGAGGCTAGTGTTCAGCCTGTGAAAATTTTCTACTAAATTTTTGGCCCAGCTCTTAAAATATATTTCATGCATGTATATTGCCTATATATTTTTTACAAAGGAAAACAAGCATAAGTTTGCTTAATTATCTGAATTAACATTTTTAAAAATTCCCAGCCCAATAATTTTTTTCGGCTTATAGGCCACGCTGTGCCAAATATCAATACCCATATGATATGCAGGCAATTGCTTTGAATAAGTTGTTAAAATCCACGATTTATAAAAACGACTAACTATATTTTAGCTAGAAAAATATTGCCTAAGATTCGTAATTTAGTTAATAAATGTCCAAAACTTTTCATCTCTGAGCAAAATCGAAAGGGTTGAGTAATACTTTTTTGGATAAAATAGTGTATTAGATGTTTTAAAAATCAGAATATTGTCTTCTAATTTTATCAATTTTTATATAAATTATAGAATATGAAAAATTTCATAAACAATCCAGAATATATTTCTTCGTATCACTGTAAATGATCTAAAGTTGAAATATTGCTAATCCATATAAGTTTCACATCCTAATAATTTAATATTATTTGATTTTAAAACTTTATTAATATTTGAACTGGAACTAATCAAAACAAATGAAGCCATACTAGTTGAGTCGTCAATTAAAACTATCATCTTTAATACGCCTAGTCAAAAATCCTTCACAATAAAAAATGAAACATTGCACATGTAACTTAGTTAAAAAGTGGCCGACATCCCAATTCTAACAAACATATCAAACGTTAAATATGCCTTCTAACTGTCCGTTTAATTTAAATTGCTAAAATACTCACGTTTCTTCCGACATAGGATATAGTAGGGGGGTCTATAACCCTACCATCCACGTCCATCAACTTGTCGTCAACAGTAATCCCGAAAGCTTTCATGATTGGGTCTGAATTGAAGTTGGCCTCCTTAATCTGAAAACAACAATAAGTTTAAAAATTTCAGTCAATATAATAATATATATCGAACAAATGTATCCATTACAATATCTTATCATTAAAATACAATTATTAAATTAAAATTAATTTCGAATCTTTAAATAAGCTGCATCAAAAAAGTTAGAATGAGAGCATTCATAATTAATCTTATAATGGTGATAATTAATTGTTACCAGGCCCAATATCTTCTTCTGTCTTTCTGGTGCTGGGATGGCTGTGTACTATAATATTTAAAGAAATCATATATTAATGTAATGTATTTATATTTTTAACCCATTTTCTGCTATAACAAACGCAAAAAAATGAGAGCAGTTTGGGGGGTTCTCCCTTAAACTCCCGATATTTCTAATTTTTATTGCAATTCACATAAATTTTTGCATACAAAGAATTAGAGTAAAGAATGTCGCACAATGCAGCAAGGCACATATGATATAAAATTTAAGATTTATAAAAATATTTCATAAAAGATATTTGATCAGAACTTGAAATACCTTGATCATATTAGCGACCATATTATCACTGAGCTTATTGTTCTTCTTCTGCCCATCTTTCAAAGTGCAAACCTAAATGAAACATTAATAAATAGTACAACAATTACCATAAATTACAGAAAAAATAGTTATATGTAAAAGGCAATTTTAATTTTAAAAAATCTAGTCTATCTTGGTTTAATTACAATAAATTTATTAAAATAAATTTTATGGTTCTTTTAAATTTAGAAAAGATGAGCGAGAAATCCTAAATGAGTAACACGGCTCTTATTTATTTTCAAAAAAATATTATATAACCTAGGTTTTCACTAGCAATTAAAAATACGCATATGTGTATTTTATTATCAGCAGTGTTCTAACAAATATTCGTGAATTTTATGCATTTAACACTGTTTTGCAAAAAACGCGTATTGGCGCATTTTTTAATTGCCAGCAAAGACGTAGGTATTGTTGTAATAACCTCCATTGGCAAATATATCTGCTTCTGTAAGCTCCCAACTCTCAGACAAGGTAGATTCGGATACCTTAAATAATTCAAATAAATTATAGGTGATAAATAAATGCCTTGATAATTATTATCATTATTGGATCAGTTCAATCACCCATTCATAAAATATTAGGTGGTAGAGAATGTATAAAAAATGACGATTTTTACATATTGTCAGGAGCAGAAAAATAGGAAAAAATTGAACACGGAAAAACTCATATATTTTATTCAAAATAAAATATAGTAACCAAAAAACCCATATATAAAAATCTTTATAAGACAACCATTCAAATAAAAGTCGTAAGAAATAAACTTCAATTGTTGGTGGTAGTGATTGGAAAAGTAGTCAGCAACTGTTACGTTTTCCTTGTTTCCATCTCTTTCCATGCTAAAGCTGTATAAGCACGTTAAAAAATTATAAACTAAGTATTCAAAAAAGTTTAAAGTATATGCAAAATTCTCTATTATTTGTTAAATATGAAAATTTAAAAATAAAATAAACGAATTCTCACCTGAGTTGAGTAGCGGGAACCTTTGTTAGCTCCCTAATAACATAGGTCCTCTTGACGCTTCCTTGATGGTTCACTCTTACTTTCAAATCTAAAAATAAAATATAAGTTAGAGAAGGGGGCGGTATTGAAATCATTATATTTACATTAAATGGCTTTTAAATTTTTTAAAATATTGGTTACGGGGAACGAAATGCTGGTCTATAGTTATTAGATTGGTGTTAATCAGGAATAAATAGCGGTAGAGGATTTATTCTTTTATTATTGCTAAGGGCTAGGTAAAAAGTAGTAGACTTAAAATATTTACATTACAATAACAAATATATGGTACCAATAAATCGCAAAAGCCAGGCTATGAATATCCTTATTATATTTTCAACCTAAATGACACCTTGACACGAAAAGACATGTTATTGACGTTTTGGACAATTTCATGACGTTAAATTAATACGAAAGGTGCACTACCACCAGATTTTGCAATACATAAAAAAGAAAGTAACTCGTTTATCTTTTCCTTATTATCCAACATTATACTTGATTATCTGATCACATATTAATTTCAGGTATCAAATTGTCTCCTATAAAGTATGCCATACTTTTCGAACCTAGATGTTTAAAGTTCTGTCGTGAATAGCTAAATATGGAACTCCAGTCCACTTTAAATATTGTGAAACAGAATTATTGCATAAAAGATGTGGTACATATAATATTTTTACGAGAAAAGGATGTTTATTCAGAAGCAAATATCCAATACTCAAGGATAAAAAAGATATTCTAAGAGTTAGAACAAGACTATTACAAGTTGTTTCAAATAAATTTGAATAAAAATTTTTTTTCAAACAAAAAATTTTGGGGTCTCCAATGACCGATATTTTAAATAAGAAATTCTGCTGCCACAATTTCATTATCAGCGCACCTTTCTAAGCAACGTTTGATTTTTAAATTCAAAACAATAAACATTATTTATTCTAATAGCAATATTTTAATTCGAGTGGGCATAGAGCTTTAGGTAATATAAAAAATATCAAATTATATGAGGAGGGGGGAAGGGGGGGGGGGGGGGTAACAATAAATATCTAAAAAAATTATTATATTTTACCACTGACCTTCTGGCCATAAAAGGGAGTATGCAATATTTATTTATTTTTAGGAACTTAATGCACTCAGTGTTTCTTATCAGGAAATTTTTTTCATATTCGTTTGTTGCAAATATAAAATAAGGAAACATAAAAGAGCATTTGATTAGAATTCTAAAACCTTAGGACTAATAATGCCCCAAATAGTATATTCGCCTTGAATGTTTCACCATATATAAAATGTTAAGGGATGATTTACTTTTAAGCTCCTTCTGGAGCTGAACTCTCTGATAATTCGAGAGGTTTACCATTGGTTGTCTACTCCTAAAGAATTCGTTTATAAATGTTATCATTGAAATTGGTTGGTAGAAAGCTGTTGCAGCAACTATAATTAAACATATTTTAAAATAATTAATCCAAATTGAAAAAGGAATTGGCAAAAATGTGTAAAAATTGTCTACTCACGATCTACGTTAAGAGTCATTTTCCATTGGGTTGGTCTGACGCTTTGAAATCTACCCATCCAGAGTTCGCATCCTTCACCTAAATCCTTCATGGCATCGGGGGGAGAATATAAGGATCTTCCCACAGGAATTTGCCTTTAAAGAAATGAAAAATAGTGTAAAATAAATGTGAATTTTATTACACTATTATTTAGTCTATATTTACAGTAATAATGTTGGTAAATATAAATCTCCATAGTATATAGTTAGACTGTGTTGAGTTTGGGTAATTTGGCATGTTACAATATTTAAAAAAATTGGATCAAAATGTACTTAATGGCATAAGTGGAAAACGACTCGACCCGCTTAGTAAATAAAAATTAATAACTATTAGTTGTAGTTAGGGGTGTATCGATACAACTTTTTGGAGGCCTATTCACTCCATTATTAAATTGATATTGACTGATTACTAATCCATTATGATTAATCTGATTTTGTGTGTTATGCCTAATAATACCATAACATAAGTCATATTAAAAAAACTATTATCATATTTAATTAAATTAATGGTTATATTCAAATTAAAAGTATGTCAACACTGATAGATAATTTATTTATATAATAAAATCGTTGTAATCTTTTTCGTTCCAAAAGTTATTGTAGTGTAGAAATTAGAATCCCATATAATCAATATAAATTGTTGGAATTATTTTAAAAAATTATTTTAATATTAGTTGGACCATTCCATGCCAAATTGATCAAAAAACATGATTTTTGGTATGGATGAATATTTATATATAAATAGGTTCTTAGAAGATATCTTAAAGATATCCAAGGTCAAAGGATAAAAAAATTTCTTTTTTGGTAAGTGTTTTTAATCATTAAATTATGGATTGATTAAAAATTTAGCAATTATATATAATAAATCTAGTATCAAAATAAAGAAAATAAAAAATAATTTCTAGACCTTTTATTCACTGAATAAAGTTAAAAATCCTAATGACGAAAATTGGGTCAAACCGATATTTATAAAACTTTAGAAACATCACTATTACCATTCTATTTGAGTGTAAAAAAATGTAAGTGGTGTCTATATATACCTTCATGGCAAAATCGATAAAAACAAGTAAAAATGAAAAAAATATTTTTAAACTTTATTGGCATTGTGTATTGATTAGTCTAATATTTTTAATAATATAACTCAGTGGCATAGCAACGTGGTGATTTTGAAGTTTGGACCCTTACCAGAGCTTAAATATGTAGATTATATGTTCAAAATTATGCTTATATTCGAATAATACCCATATAAAATAATAAATGCATAGTTAAAATTATTAGTTGCTAACTATTTGGTATTAATTTTCTAAACTTTATTTCTTATTTCAATCGTTTGAATGAATTATATTATTTTTTATACTATAAATCTCAGTAGATATCTATAAGGAAAATCTAAATATTGTTGGAATAATGAATGACGCCAAAAGGCTTCTTTTAATTCGATACCAATGATAACTTTTCGGCCTGACCGTTTTATTTTGATAAAATATTGCATACTGAGAAGGACATCAGCTTCCTAGTAATAATAGTTCTTGTGATATCAATGGTCAAAAGTGCCAAAAATGACTCTTACGAAAAATAAGATATCGAGAAAAGTTAAAAAAATAATGATGCCAAAAATAAAAATTATATGTCATTTTGTAACTCTATCAAAGGCCTTATATAATATATAAATTTTTATAAAATCTTGAAATTTTTAAAGTTGTTTGAAACGGAAAGTTCACCCTCCGAATTTCAACCTATATGGGACAGCCATGGGTTTATTAGTTTTTGCGATTTAAAAAAAAGAAATAAAATTTTAGAAATAGATATGCATTTTTGTTAAATTATTTTTTAAACTTTCATTTTTAAATAACAATAAGATTTTCCAGCATTAATATCATGAAATGAAATTATTTAGGTGCGATTATAATAAAAAAAAATTTTAAAAAATTTAAATTTTTTTATTAATTTTGCAAATAAAAAATTAAAATTCATGAAAAATATTATTTATTTTCAGCTTTTCATCAGATTAAGTTCTTGCTTTGATAATTTCGTTTTGCAATAATAATAAGTGCCCTGTCATCTTTGATGGGCTTCACTGTTAAATTATTATTTTCCATATGAACGTCCCTGGTATTGAGATCAATTTACTAAATTAACCTTATCTCTTCTGCACATACTCTAGTGTGGCATAAGAAAAAATTATATAATTTATAGGCTCCTTAGCTGATTTGTGAAATTGTAGGTTTATTATTAAATCTAAAGGTCTTCTTAGTTCTGAATTATTAATTATTTCTGAAATAGCTTCTGATATATATATTCGCTTTTTTTAAATAGAAGATATTGCAATATAATTTAAATATAATTGTGTCTATTATATGGATGCTGTAATGATATTATTTATTTCACGCTGTCAAAATTTATTCTTACCATTTTTGTTTTCCACTAACTAATACATGTCATAACTTCTGGCATTATTTTATAATTAAAGTGCTTAAAATCTTTAAAAGGATTTCAAGACTAGTATCTTAAAGGAGGAAACTTACAAGTATTATATCAAACAATATAAATGTATAGCCCAATTTTAATTTTTAAAATAAAATATCAAAATAATAGTTTTTAAGCTAGATGAATTTATGTGAAAGTTTATTTTTGGGTCCAAATATGGTATGTTTCAATTGGCCATAAATATTATTCAAGATTTATATTATAAATAAAAAATACATAAATCTAAAAATACTCAAATGAATATTTTTGAATATTTATATTAAATTTAATACTGCATTGCATGATAAACAATTATTTCTTCCTGAACAGTATATAAATGTTATTATTGAGATGCAATAATTTCTATTTATGGAAATAGATACAAAAAAAATAGTGCGCTATTTTTTGAAAATGCTAGCGATAACGATAGCACGCTATTTTTTGTAACACCTTTTAAAAGTCGCTATTTGAGCATTTACATTTAATATAAATAATTTTGTGAAAAAAAATATTTAATATCGAAATATTTGAAAAATTTAATTCATTGCAGGCAGGTGCATGAAAACTGACTTTTATCTTACAATTAATTATTAATTATATTGAAATCGTAAATATAATCATTTACTATAAAACTAGGGATGATGAGAAATATTTTTTTATCAGATTTAAAATATAGGAGTTATTCGCCAATATTATTAAATTTCTCAATATGGCGTCTTAATTTTTAAAAAACTTGTTTGAAATTACATAATATATTTTTACATAATATATAAATTGATTAATGTTATATAAATAAGTGATTTATTAATAAAAAATTTTAAACGTTTAGATTCAACTGATCATTAAAATAAGATTTATGTTATGGTATAGTTAAATTATAGATGCTATACTGTTACACTATTAAAGGGCACATGAGATAAGTTGTATGTAGTTATTCAAAATTGCTGCATTTGAACCGATTTTTAAGAACGGCTAACTCAATATTTATTGAAATTTCGCTAATAGATGTCAAAATCTTTGTGCCATATATGAGCACTTGCGTAATATTTTTCGGGATAAAATAATGAGTTAGTCGTTTTGCAACACCAGATGTATGCTGAAAATAAAAAAGATTGGTATTTTTATAGAATATAAAATCAGATATTACATCGTATCAGTTATCGGTTGATATCAATTTAATATCGTATCGACCTCCAAAAAGTGGTATCGGTACACCCCTAATAAAAATAATTAAATTTTACAAGTTATCTTGTATTAATAATAAGTAAGCATAGCGTCATCTATTATAAATTGCAACAACTAATAAACCCATGGCTGTCACAAGTTTAAATTTTTTGCAATAGATGTAAGTGAATAATAAAATAATAAAGTCAAAGAAATTCAGAAAGGGAAGCACTTGAAGCTTTCAGGTTAAAAATTTTTATGTAAATAAAAACCGCAACAATATTATTTTATAAAAATCCTTGATTTCATACCCAAAAATTGATCATATTTATTTGTTATGGCATATATTTCAATATTTTTTTAAAGATGGAATATACAATTGCACGTTTCATATCAAAAATCTTTTTGAAAGCTTAAGTGAAAAATATATTTAAAAATAGCTTTAAAGTAGGTTAGATGTGTATTTTTCACAAAAAAAGTTATTTAAAAAGTGTGCCATATTTTGGCCTAATGAAGGAGTTAACATTCAATAATAGGCCTTTAATAGTTTCATTATTTTAACTTATCTCAATTTTAAAACAACGTTTCGAAAAAGGGTCATTTTGGCACTTTTGACCATTGATATATCAGGAACTATTAGTACTAGGAAGAGCTTTCTAATGATGTTCTTTCAGTATGCAAAATTTTATCAAAATTAAAAAGGTCGGGCCAAGTTAGAAATTTGGTATAGAATTATCTAAAAACTATAGGTAACTTTGGCCCATGGGTTAGCTCATAAATATATATAGATATATCAATTACATTCCAAACGAAGTCATAAAAGAAATGGATAAAAAGCCACTTATGATTAAATAAAATATATTTATTAACATAAAATGGGAATAATTGAATTTAAAAATAATCTTTATCAATATCAAACAATATTTATAACTAGTGGATAACTCGTCAAGTATGACGGGAATAAAAAAAACTTGAACTATTATAAGAAATTTCAAACAATATTTATAATAGTTTTATTATCAATATATATATGTTAATTTTCATAATTAGTAAACATATTTGTTTTTTGATATATATTATAAAACATTTGTAATCTTATCTCATATTTATTGTAACAAAATAATATATCCTTAATTGAAATTTTATTAGAGTTTTTTGCTTAAAAATAAAGATTTGATTTAACTTTGAAAGATCTTGTATGCATGAACATTACAAGATATTCACTTATAAATAACTTATTATAAAAAATATTTATAATTTGTTTTATCAAACTCTAATTTATATGATGTGTAATACTAATAATTAATGTAATATATCAATTATAATCATGGCAATAATTTAAATAAATATCTTTTATATTAATAAATTAAACTTTAAATTATAAATAAAAATCATTTATTAAGAAAAATTTAGGGAAAGTAACTAATAATTTAATAAAATTTATTAAGTGTCAAATTTGATGTTAT